CAGGGGCCTTGTAATTAATCCTCGAAGACAAGATTTTATCTGCTTAACAGTATGTGAAGGCAGGGAGACCATCAGGGGATTCAGCAGTGCTGTTTTTAAGTGGGATCACCCATATTTAGTTGGTGGATATGTTAGTCTGCAGATCATCTGCTCTGAATGCGCTCTTATATAATAGGCAGGTTAAATCAAGTTGACATTTTCTTATACTAGTACTTAGCCTTGACCAGACAGCATTAGGCATTATTAACATGCACCATGTGAAAAGGGACACAGATTCTCACCCCCCCCCCCTCCCTTCCTTAGACAGCAAGAAAATAGGTCATCATTCATAAACAAATAAACAAATATAAATGTCCTATCTGGTGGTTGAACCAGGTTCACTACTCCCTGATAAAGCCTGACCTCACTCAAGTTAGGGGCCAACTGGGTTACACTATCTACTATATGACCCAACTACTCCATATATAGACATAATTGAAAATGTTGATATTACAGCTTCACTCACGCCATGCTGCCAGTGGTTGCATTTCCCTGTGATATTGTGCTAAATAATCTTACTTAAATATCTATATTTTTACCAAATTATTCTTAAAAAAACAAATCACATCAGTAAATCAGTTTTTAAACCTAAGTGAATGTAAGCCATAATTTTCAGTTGCTGGTGATATTACAGACCTAATAATTATTTGTTGTCTGAGTGCGGTAAATTTATAACCATACAATCTAACACATCTGTTGAGTTAAAATACAAAACTCCTGACATGGTCTCCTATCCTTTACATAAACTCCATTGCTGTTTTTTTTTCCTATCATTTTTTTTCATCTTTCTTGTTTTGTAATTTTTAATTTTTACATCAGTTTACGATTACACATCAAACATTCTTCCACATGGTACAATTATTCTGACAGGACATTATTAATTTTCGAATATTTTTCCACACTGTACAATTATTTGGACAGTACAATTATTTGGAACTTCAGAGTAAATTTAAACCTTATATAACATGCAATGCAACCATCCTAGATAGTATTTCTTAACTTGCAGAATTGAAAAACTATATTATACATATGAAACAAAATGCAGACATAATAATCAAGCTAGCATCAAAAACATATGCTTCGTGTAAAGACCATACAGCCTCTACATCTCCATGGTGTCATATTTGAAACATCTCTCACTTTCTAACAGCAGTAATCATAACAGTTAACATTTAAGACTTAAATCACTTTACTGTCAAAACAAAATTTATGTTGAACTAGAAAAAAAGTATGCCCCATAATATGTTAGCCACCTGGTTTATGAACTATTAACAGAATAAAATAATAATCAGCCAGGTTTATCAAAATAGGGTGCAACTCCGATAGTAGATGAATAGCCATTTATCAGTTAGGCTGTATAAATCTAGAGCTAAATGTAGATAAAGAACTGTATGCTTCAGAGACATCATTTGTGAATTACTGTTCATTTATGCTATAATGAGTTGAGGAATATAGTTGACCCCACTGTGAACTTCTGTATAGGACTTCATGTAGTGTGCATGGTATAGGTTTTTAGCTCCATCTTCATCCATTTTCTGCATTCATTAAATTTTCTATGGGTTGATCAGAAGTGAATATTTGATGTTTAAAAAAAAACTAATCCAAGGATTGAAAAATAAATTAATTAATAAAAGTAGAAAATCTCTCCAGTGGTGAAAAATGGTCCATAGATATAACTTGTAATTTTTGGCAAGAAAAAATATACTAGTATATGAATTTTAATGGGGTTTAAGCAATTTTCAAGTACTTTGTAGCCATCACAATATGAAGTAACTGTTCCAAATCCAGAATCACCATTTAAACTCATTACTTAATAAAACTTTATCTTCAATTGGCTATTGGTGACTTATTATTACATGCAATCCTTGCATCTTTGAACAGGTGTAATACTAGTTATTCCATTGTCTCTCAAAAGTATTTCAAAAGCCTTTGGATTATAAGAAAATATATGGCCATTACCAAGAAAATGGAAAGACTTCAGATCATAACTTTAAAAATCCCATCTGTGTTCTGTTCACCTTTAAAAAACATCTAATAAATGAATATATATATACTGTATATTAATTAAATATTGCTCACTGACCTCTGTCTCCTCACAAAATATCCAATGGTCTTTCATAAACAATACAGAATATCCCTCAGCTATTTAAAATATCTTGCTGAAGACAATTTTAGTCGATTGTCTGCTCATCACACCAACTTCCCCATGAATCAATACCCAGTAATGGCTTGAAACTCTCCGCAAGTCCCTTAGCAATTTTTGCTTTTCATAATATTCAAACCACCATTCCATCATCTGTGGTTATGTTGGAATGTGAAATGGGTTGAATAATGGAAAGCGCAGAGAACTTCACATCTAGATTTTATTTTCTTGTTTTCATTCCTTTTTCTTTCCTTCATTATTTCTATTCTATTTATTACTAATTTTTTTTTTTTNTGCTGAACACGAACCCATTTCTTTGCTGGGGGCCTTGAAAGTACCTGTAAGTACTGAGGAAGTTTGCCGGAACCTGTAACAGACCTTGTTAACAAAAGTGTCATTTGAGGATTGGAGCTGAAAATTAGTGACTTTGATGACCAAATTAATGGCTTTTTTTTTTTTTTGGGGGGGGGGGGGCATTTCAATTGTGTTTAACCAGGAATAACAATAAGCCAAGGAGACGTTAACCCCCCCCCCTTTGCTCACATCATAATTTTGGATGACCTGTTTCAAAACCCTGGCTTAACCTGAGGTTTCCTGAAATTACGGGTTTAGACAGGATTTTGCAGTATTTGAAATGTACTAAATAAAAAAAAAATGAAAGATATCATTTTGAAGATGATGTACAAATGATAAGAGATTGACCCAGGGCATTTCTTCTAATCTTTGCATGAAGTTATAAAAGAAGAAAGGGGAAATCTCCTACAGTCTTTATCGCAAGTACTAAGATACACATCACATGTTAAAATCTTTACCAAGTGCAGACAAATATAATTTAGAAAGCAGTTTCACATCTGATTCAGTCTTGGCTATGTAAATATACTCCTGAAGGGGATGAAAAAGATGTTTTTGTATATGTCAGACTCAGTCTCATGTGATTCTGGAACATTAGCCCAAAGAACAAGGGACTTAAGGACAGAAATAACAGACATGGCCTTGCTCAGACAACATTGATTTTTTCCTCAAATTTACATACTAGTAAGTACAGACTGAAAAGTTTTATCAGATGACTAGACTAATGCTGTGACTTCTGAGGCCTCCTTCCCAAAAAGTTAAGACCAGTTTTCAGGCTATTCTGTAAAGTTAATTTCTATAACCTGACCAAGATTTCTGGTCATTCAGCAAACACCTTTTGGGCCGTTTCCCAGTCCAAAACAACACTGGTCTGAATGCATGCTGTGTATAAAAACCAAATTTAAAGTAGGCCACTGCAGTCTTTAAGCCTAATACCACAGAGGTCAGATATATGTACTGTTACACAGCATAAGCAATGTTCTTGTCCTTTGTTTTTTATTAATAAATTCCCCAGATCATGCACATTCATCATTAACTCTACAGTGGCTGAGGGATTTGAGGTGGGATTTGGTAAAGATAACACATATCACAATGATATCAGTTGCACAGGGAATCGGGTTTTACATTTAATCATATTGTAGATGTCCTATTTTTATTATTCTTTACATTTTATAACTGACAGCAGTCTGGCACAGGCATACATATACATTTAAAACACAATGAAACTGGGTTTATCAATCAATACTGTTCACATCATAGTCTATAAATATGAATTTTGCCTCAGAATATATGACTCCAATACAATAGAAAATTCAAATCATGCTGTCTTTTATATTACTCATATTTATTGTGATTGGTCTAGATGTTGTATTCAATACAAAAGTCTTTGATCCCATCAAAAGAAGAACATACAAGTACTAGAATAAAGTTCACATGTATAGCTTTCATTCTAAACAGGTACTAGTATGTATATCCCCCTCCCTGCCTTTCCCCCGGTTACTGTCAAAGCATGGCTAGGAAATGTAAGCTGAGAACTGAAACAAGACAAAAAATTGCAAGAGTCTAGGTATTTTACAGTATCTTCAGTGGTTTGATATTCTACATAGAATTATAACTACAAACTGATATCTGAGTTTCAGAGATAAGTTTCAAAGCTTGCAGTACACCATATTAACAGATATATATATATATATATATATATATATATATATAAGAAAATGATACTATCATTAGTTTCTCACTTAAGCTATGAGTAAATAAGTAACAGACATGATTTTGAGTTGTAAGAAAAAAAGAGGGAAGAGTAAAGAGGAAAAAAAAACGGGTATCTGAAGTAAAAGACGGGAAGTCTAAAGAGGAAATAAAATGGTCTCACCTCATAGTAACCTGATACATCACTGTCTCCGGAGAAAACCAAATAAGGGTAATGTCACAAGCAATGACAGTAACTGAGCCTGACGACAATGAACTATTTCAGCGTGATCACAATGATACTTTCCTCGAGTCAAGGCCTTAGTTTATTGCAGCCCTCTCTATCAGAGCTACTGACCACAATACGTTGGCCTGAAACAGCTCTTAAGGTCAATTAGTCCCTCAGAATAAAGACACAAAGCTCGACAAGCCCGAGTGAGTCACTCTCAGTCACTCGCAAGATGAATATCGCTCAGAATCAAACACATTGCTCGTAAACAATCTAAGTTCACAACTTTTTTGCAGTCGATTTAAAGTTAGAAGAATATTGGCAATTAACCAGATAACTTACCTCCCGAAACTGCGATATACAGAGAGTGAATATCCAAAACCCGAGAATAAGGAAGTGAAGGTTGTGAACAAAAACTTAGTTAAAACACGGGTTTACACTTTCACCGAATCGCGGAAGTGACTCGCTCTGAGTCACACGACATTGGGCATGCGCAGAAGGTTGATTTTTTTCTGTACTCCTTTTAAAGAAAAACTGAAACACGCTTGCTCCACATGCTAAGAAAATTATTTTGTTGTGATATTTCTCAGAGCAATGTCGTTTTTCATAAGAAGCGGTAGAGGCAGAGGAGGAACTGCAAAGGGGTCGAAACGCAAGGTATGAGTGTGAACTGAAGAGTAAAAAGGGCAATACTAAACATATTTACAACTTGAGTACCTCCTCAAAAAATACAGGGGTAGAAACCGTTCTTGCGTTCAAGAAGGTACAGATAGAAATAACTTTAAAGAAACATAGAAGGATTAATTGTGCTGCATTTGAGCTAAGCAATGGCGAATAGAAAGCATATTTATGCAAAGAAATGCCCTTACCAGGACACGGGCCCAATACATTGGTCGGGACATAATTATGAAAAATGAGTAATTATTTTAAAATTATTAACCCCCACCCCTTTTCCCAATCTTCAAGGATGAGGGGTCCACATTTTTTGTTAAGATTTTGAATTATTGTACTAGTTGTAAATCCTTTAGATTTAGCATATTCAAAAATTGCACTTATGAACTAACTTCCTATTTTGAATTTACAGATTGACAAAAGTAGTAAGCCACAGAAAAATGGTACAACAATACCAAACAAGAAGAAAATTAAAACAAAGTTTCAGTCAGGAGGAGATGAGGAAATCCCCAGTGACTCAGATGAAATAAATAGGTTTGCAATCTTAAGATGTAATGAATAAAATAACAGACATAAGTCTTGTTTTAAAAACCAAAGTTTGACTATATTTTGACCCAGTGCAGAAGAATGAAATGAAATTTAATAATTTATCTTAATCATTATAAAGAAATACCCTGCCTAAGTTTTAGATCTGTAGTTTGTTATCTCAGAGGACCAGTACTGACTTAATTAAGTCTTTGTCTTTAAGATTATATCAGCTTTTGTTCAAGTATAGTTTATATTATACTTTAGCCTTAATTTATAAGCAATATTTATTCTAAAGGTCTGTTAAATCATCCCAATGTATGCATAATTGGAGTTAGGTATTTACACTTAACACATTTCAGCAGGGAATGGTTGTTAAAATTAGCACAAATTACTTCTAGACTTTTAACTGGTTTTCAGTGAAGAAGAAACTTATACTAAAGGAAAATCCCATCAGTACAGCACAGATGAGGAAGAGGAAGAAGAGACTGCTCAAGAGAAAAAATTACGGCTTACCAAGCAGTATTTAGCTCAGCTGGAAGCAGAAGGTGAGAAGTTATATGAATTGATAATAATTTCTTCTGTATAGGATATATTTTCTCTAAATGTTGTTTAAGGCTCAAATCAGTGTGGCTGAATAGAATTTCTGAATTACCCTAAAGAATTGCACTTCAAATTTCATTAAGATGGCAGAAAATAAGCTGAACAAAATTCATTTAATTTGATAATATTGTATGTAGCTCATTTTTTGCACCACATAATTCCTGCTGTTTTTGTCTCTTCAGAGGCAGAAAAAACAGACGATGAGGAAGGTCATGATTTAGTAGGAGAGAGACTCAAAACAGACATAGTGAGTCTGGCAGTGTGCCTTTCATACTTTGCCATTAACAGCAGTAAAATATTTATCTGATTATTTGTCCATTACTTTGTCTCAGTAAAAGTAACTGCCCTTTTTGTATTGACAAAAAAGCATAACATGAAAATTATTATACATCAATCTATTTTCATTTGGATTATTGTAATTATAGAAATACTGGTATTTTAGGCAGCATTCGTTAGCACCAGGAGCACACAACTATTTCCCTCTTCTCTGATCCTGTTGTTACAATAACTATACTTTTGATCTGTTCATGATTTTCAGAGCAGGTGCTAGTTGTGAGTTATAATATTGGTTCATTAATGTGTTATTCATTTTTACAGTTAGAGCAGGCAGGAAAACTACAGAGAAAATTGGCAGATGAGGTGAGTTTTTTTTTTCCACAGGAATCATGTTTAATGGTAGAAAGTCTACTTGTGTTCATTCAAGTTTATTTAAAATATATTGGTTAACATTAATGTTTTATCCTGTCCAATATCTGTGCATATAGGTGTTTGGGTGTTGTAGTTCTCTCTGATGTGAATGCATTCAGGACAACATGATGTAATCAATATCCCTTACTTCCTAAACATATTTTCAGTTTTATGTCACTAACATATATTGCTACCAGTCATACAAGTCTTTCTTTATGTGGGTGAAAAAGTATCTGGTTATGTAATGTTCAGATATCCAGTCACGTCATTTACATTTTTAGTTCTCCATGCTCCAAAAAGATCAAGTCAATACCATAATTTCACCATAACATTCCATATAGTATATCCAGCCTTCCTCAAATGACATCACCTTGTTAAAAGGACAACATTAAGCTGTCACCTAATTATCACTATACTATACTATGTTATATTCCAGTATGTCCAACCATCACCAGATGACATCACATTGTTAAGAGGACACCAGTTAGCTGTCACCTGTCTAGTCATCACACCTGATGAGAAACACGTCTTCAGTGGCTCTAAAGATTGTTCTATTGTGAAATGTTAGTGCAGCAAGATAAAATTAACTTTATGCAAACTGAAAAAGATAAATCAGATATTGGAAAATGTCTGTTTCTTAGAGTAGAAATTGTTTTCTTTACTGAAGATATTATCACTGTGGTCCTTTTTTTTCATAAAAAAGCATGTTATAGATCTCTTTAAACTGTTTAGCTTTGATGAAGAACGAAATTAATGCTGATTATTCCTGTATACTTATTCAGAGATTGGACTCTAGGAAAAAAGCATGATTCTGAAAAACCAGAGAGATTGGACTATAGGAAAAATATGATTCTGAAAGACAAAATTTGGGTTGATAATTTCTAAGTGTATATAATTCCAGGGAGTTTGGAGTCTAAGAAGAAGGTTCACACTATCCACGGTGGTCGTAAGGGGACAGAGGACAGACATGTGGGTCACACGTCACATGTCTTATGTCTGGCTGTGTCATCTGATGGAACATTCCTGGTATGTCTGTCTGTCTGTTGAACTGACTATTCCAGTTATGCATAATGTGTACCAGCTAGGATTTTTTTTTTCGGAAATAAGTGAAAATTGTGTGTGTATATATATTTGCCAGAGAGAGAGAGAGAGTTGAAATGAAGAAGGCACTTTAAGATTCTATAGTAGTTTGTGTATACATTTTCATAGAAAACTTCAACAGGAATTGGAAAACCTTTTCTTAAATAAATGAACTTCTTTCCTTAATTGTGATTTTTTATTTGGATCCAGTATTCCCTCTTTGCATTTTAGGTATCTGGGGACAGAAACAAATTAATACATGTTTGGAACCCTGACACATGCCAGTTACTGCATACATTCACTGGACATAGGGATGCAGTGTCTGTAAGTGCCTTCAGGACTTAATATAATCATATTAATTAACTAAGTGAAGGCAGTAAAATGTTAATTTAATGTACCCTAGTGTGTCTGTTCATATTATTATTATTATAATTGTCTTTTTTTGACAACATTATATGCCTGTTTAATAGCATAAATGTCCCCTGTTAGAATAGTTTATGCTATTAGAAATATGGAAGTTATAAGATATAAATTCAAACTTTTTTTCTGTTGTCTGTGTTCAGGGTTTGGCATTTAGACGCGGAACACACCAGCTTTTCAGTGCATCACATGACAGATCAGTGAAAATATGGAACTTGGATGAGATGGCATACGTGGAGACATTGTGAGTGTGTATTGAAGATACTGACTAGATAAGTCATCCAGTTGTATCTTACGTAATTTAATATAATGTTTTGAAAGTCCATTACTGGACTTTAATTTAAGACCAGTTAAAGGACATTGTGACACTGGCACTTGTCAGAATTCACATAGACCAGCATTTTTGGACGGAAGATTTAAATTTTTTCAGTTTGTCAAAACTAAGATAGGTAGAGTCATGAAATTTTCAGCATTTATTTAAAACATCATTTTCCTACATTATTCCAAATTTCATTGTAATATATCTTCATTGAACTTTGTTAGTGATTTTAAGTTTTTTTTTATTATTTTTTATTTTTTTAGCCACCCATTATATTTATATATATTCCAGATTTGGTCACCAGGACAGTATCAGTGGTATAGACAGTGGTACAAGGGACAGAGCTGTCACGTCAGGGGGAAGGGATGGGACGGTCAGGATATGGAAAGTTGTGGAAGAGTCACAACTGGTCTTCCACGGCCACGGGTAAGTGGGCGCAAGGGGTCACTTAATGTGCTCTGGTCATTTAGGGTGGTTTGTTCTCCTATGTGTAATAAATTTTGTCAATTGGAGAATTAGTACGGTTTGAATCTAGTGTGAAATGCAGGTTTGCTAATAGATATTGTGGTGAGGAGACTGCATGGTGATGGAGGTAGGTGGTTGTTGATCAGTGATACAGAATGGTTAAGCCAGTTAGTGGCAAGAAAGCTAGTTGTCTAGCTGACTTCTTGAATTACGCAAATGTATTTATGATATAAATAAGGACTGTTATAACATAGATATTATTTTATTTTTGGTTCCTTTTTCAGTGGTTGCATAGACTGTGTTGCTTTGATCAATGAGGAACATTTTGTGTCTGGAAGTGACAATAAGTGAGTACTGCTGTTGTATATATTATATATATCTGAGTTTAGATTACACTTCAGATGCCTTGAAGTCAAATTAAGAAAGTATTCTCTCATTTAATGAACGCAGGATTTTTGGTATAATCAAATAAAGAATATTTACTTCCTGTCTCATTGAATGTATTACATTGATTAACAAAATGTGTAGGAAATGTTCAGGAATATTTGTGTTTATTGTAAAGATGCAAGTCTTTTTTCTTCTGTTTTAGTTCACTTTCGCTGTGGTATGTGCAAAAGAAGAAGCCAATCTGTACAGTGCAAAATGCCCACCCTGGCAGTGAAGATGGGGACCCCACTGTAAAAAATGAAAACTGGATAACGTCTGTTGCAGCAATACCAAATTCAGATCTGATTGCATCAGGTGAGCTCAAGTCATTGGGAAAAATAGCATTTTTTTAAGAAGGTAACTGTCATAACAAATGTTGGGACATATTTAAAATGTTCAAGATATATGTAACACATAAGAGGGTTCAAAATTACAGACCTAATATTGGCAGCTAGTGGGTCTGACATTCATTCATTTAGAATTAAAATAAATTACATTGGAATTCAAAACAGTATGATTTTTCCTGGACCAAATGATTAATTGTGTCTAAACTTTTTTTGTGTTTTCTGACAACTGTCTTTCTCCCAGCAGGTTCTAAAGATGGCTGCCTGCGACTGTGGAAGGCAGAACAAGGCTTCAGGGAACTAACTGTCCACCATGTGATACCTGTGGTAAGAGGGTCCGGAAGTGAACAGATTGTAGTGGGCTTAGGAAGACGTGTTTATTATTTATTTTCTTTATTATGGTTTTTATGTGTTTTTGGTTTTGATCCATTAAAAATGTGCAGCTCTCTTTAACTATCTTCTTTACTACTCTTTACTATCCAGTAACCAGCAATATGGAATAGTAAATATTTTATAATATACAACGAGAAATGTTTTAATTTTTGCTGAATCATTTTTTGTATTCTGTTAGTGAGGGCTGTATTTCATAAGTTTATATTTCATTATTATTCTTGTTTATTTTTTCTCAAAGATTTAGCCTCATGTCTTGAGTCCTCCCATGATATTGATATATTTTGTGTCGTCTCCTTCCAGCGAGGTTTTATTAACTGTGTGCAGTTCTCTTCACAAGGCAACTATTTGGTGGCAGCGGTGGGACAGGAACATAAACTAGGAAGATGGTGGAGACTGAAAGACGCCAAGAATGGTGTTTGTATCATCAGACTGAGGAAAAAGAATGCAACATGATGCTCACAAATTTGACTTGAATATTTTTATTGCTCTGAATTTCGAGAGGTCTTCTTCATGATAATGAATGCAACATTTTTGCAGTTTTTTTAACAATCATGAAGATAGTCCCACATTCATCCTTTCATTTAAGTTATTTTTATCTTGGGATAAAAATTACCCTTTTTTTATTAAGCCAAACTTAACGAAATTAATCAAGCGTCCCTCTAGCAGGATACGAGGACAGCCCCCCCCTCCCCCCCAAAAAAAAATCACATGGAATACAAATATTAAATTAAATGTATAAAGTTCAAATCCTTTCATTCATTTTCTGCAACTTCAAAATAGAGATTATTTATATCACTAAAGAATTATTTTATCCTAATTTCATTTGCATGGAGTACAAGTACAGAAAATGTTTAAAAAAATTTAGGTGCTAATAAGCAAAACTGTTCACTGCAATACAGATAACGTGCTCAGTAAAAACTACTCATAACTAGTACTGCAGGTAAGTGTTCAAACAAATTAAATATAAGGTTCTTACTTGCCATATGCATGTATACCTAAGCCATGAAATACTGTATGGAGCGTCAAGGCAGTTCATCAATGAAGTAAAATTATTCTAATAAGAAATGATGTACAGTTCATATTTTGTATCTGTATTTAGAGGGATGTATTTAATGCAATTGTCACAGATACTCTGAAGTGATGAGTGCCATAATTGTCAAAGATCCTTCTAATGCGAATTGAATTTTCCTTGTACTTCTTCCTAGGTGGCTGTGTGGCTTCCCCTGCAAGCATCTGTGCTGACTACATTTCCAGAAAACCCTGTTCTCTTTTAAGTATATCCAAAATTTTAAAAAAATGTATAGTGGGCTTCCAAGTTGGTCTGTAGTCCACAATGCCAACCTTCAGTGTCATTATTGGTTCTTGACAGGCCTTCAATCCTCTTTGCAGCATTGGGGTTACATCTAGCATCTTGTCTTCTTTTTGCTTGCCATATGATCTGCTAATGAAGTTGTCCTCAAAGTATTAAATGATCAGCAGCAGAGAACGGTCCATTTCCTCTTGCACTGTCTCAAAAGCTACTACAGTATCTTCAGGGGAGACAAAAGCAAGTGCAGAAATTTTCCAAACCATTGTTGAAAAGTCACCATCACTCTGATATTGCTGTGCAAGCCCAATTTCTTGCACTGTATGCCAAATACACTGGCTGAGGTAGAAAAAACTTCTTTCACTTGGGTTTTGGGTAAAGAATGGCGGAAAGCATTCCTTAAAGCTACTTCGAAGTCTATCAGCACAGTATCAGGAGCAAGCTCAGGCCTGAGTTCTTTGAGCTTACTCACCAAATGGTATTAAGTGTCTTCTGTCTTGTTTGGGAGTAGGGCATAAATGCATGGGAGGATATGGCCCTCATGGAGTGCATGAATGGTTAACATGCAAAAAAAATTCTCTCGGGTGGCCTAAAAAGTTCTATCACAAAACCAGTTTGCAGATGCAGTAAGAGTTCTTAAGTTGTTTTCTGTTGCAATGACCAACATTCGATTAGCTGGGCCTTCCCCACTGTTGTAAAATAAGACTTCCGAGTACCAGAATTGCTCTGCATTTGATGTTCTTCTGTAGCTGTCTGGCAGTCTTTTTTTCCTCAGGTGTCGGAGGATTGGGTAGTAGATTGCCAGCGTCATGCCTGTATCTATTCTATAGCTTGAGTGATTACAACTTGAGGGGTTCCCTCTGTTGTCTGGGCTCTTCGTTTCATAGTAGTTCTCAACTTCAAAACTTCTTTTTTTATGTTGCATATGCAACATGTGTGTGTTCACTAACACGGCCCACAACTTCATTTCCCAGAATTTCAGCGTCAAAACTTCTTTTTCTTTTGCATCTGCAACGTTTACAACTTTGGTTGTAGAATCTTAACTTTTGCTTTGCAACCATGATTCCTTTTCGTGGTGCACTCACATATGAAATAACCACACCTGCCTACTTAATTTGCTTTACATAAACATTTTTATGTACAGNTTGTTATTTATTTATTTTTTTATTTTTTTAGCCACCCATTATATTTATATATATTCCAGATTTGGTCACCAGGACAGTATCAGTGGTATAGACAGTGGTACGCGGGACAGGGCTGTCACGTCAGGGGGGAGGGATGGGACGGTCAGAATATGGAAAGTTGTGGAAGAGTCACAACTGGTCTTCCACGGCCACGGGTAAGTGGGCGCAAGGCGTCATTTAATGTGCTCTGGTCATTTAGGGTGGTTTGTTCTCGTATGTGTAATAAATTTTGTCAGTTGGAGAATTAGTACGGTTTGAATCTAGTGTGAAATGCAGGTTTGCTAATAGATATTGTGGTGAGGAGACTGCATGGTTCTTGATCAGTGATACAGAATGGTTAAGCCAGTTAGTGGCAAGAAAGCTAGTTGTCTAGCTGACTTCTTGAATTACGCAAATTTATTTATGATATAAATAAGGACTGTTATAACATAGATATTATATTATTTTTGGTTCCTTTTTCAGTGGTTGCATAGACTGTGTTGCTTTGATCAATGAGGAACATTTTGTGTCTGGAAGTGACAATAAGTGAGTACTGCTGTTGTATATATATCTGAGTTTAGATTACACTTCAGATGCCTTGAAGTCAAATTAAGAAGGTATTCTCTCATTTAATGAACGCAGGATTTTTGGTATAATCAAATAAAGAATATTTACTTCCTGTCTCATTGAATGTACTCAGTGTTTGCCTCTTAAGAAAATTAGTTGCTGGACCGAAAGTCCAGCCATCTTGAAAAGAAGCTGGACTGAATGTCTCCTGGGTGGGAAAACTTTTCAGCCAGTTCTGAAAGTTGTCAGCCCCGGGCAGACGGTCCAGCCTTAATTTCTAACACTGAATGTACTACATTGATTAACAAAATGTGTAGGAAATGTTCAGGAATATTTGTGTTTATTGTAAAGATGCAAGTCTTTTTTCTTCTGTTTTAGTTCACTTTCGCTGTGGTATGTGCAAAAGAAGAAGCCAATCTGTACAGTGCAAAATGCCCACCCTGGCAGTGAAGATGGGGACCCCACTGTAAAAAATGAAAACTGGATAACGTCTGTTGCAGCAATACCAAATTCAGATCTGATTGCATCAGGTGAGCTCAAGTCATTGGGAAAAATAGCCTTTTTTAAGAAGGTAACTTTCATAACAAATGTTGGGACATATTTAAAATATTCAAGATTTATGTAACACATAAGAGGGTTCAAAATTACAGACCTAATATTGGCAGCTAGTGGGTCTGACATTCATTCATTTAGAATTAAAATAAATTACATTGGAATTCAAAACAGTATGATTTTTCCTGGACCAAATGATTAATTGTGTCTAAACTTTTTTTGTGTTTTCTGACAACTGTCTTTCTCCCAGCAGGTTCTAAAGATGGCTGCCTGCGACTGTGGAAGGCAGAACAAGGCTTCAGGGAACTAACTGTCCACCATGTGATACCTGTGGTAAGAGGGTCCGGAAGTGAACAGATTGTAGTGGGCTTAGATAGACGTGTTTATTATTTATTTTCTTTATTATGGTTTTTATGTGTTTTTGGTTTTGATCCATTAAAAATGCGCAGCTCTCTTTAACTATCTTCTTTACTACTCTTTACTATCCAGTAACCAGCAATATGGAATAGTACATATTTTATAATATACAACGAGAAATGTTTTAATTTTTGCTGAATCATTTTTTGTATTCTGTTAGTGAGGGCTGTATTTCATAAGTTTATATTTCATTATTATTCTTGTTTATTTTTTCTCAAAGATTTAGCCTCATGTCTCGAGTCCTCCCAAGATATTGATATACTTTCTGTCTTCTCCTTTCAGCGTGGTTTTATAAACTGTGTGCAGTTCTCTTCACAAGGCAACTATTTGGTGGCAGCGGTGGGACAGGAACATAAACTAGGAAGATGGTGGAGACTGAAAGACGCCAAGAATGGTGTTTGTATCATCAGACTGAGGAAAAAGAATGCAACATGATGCTCACAAATTTGACTTGAATATTTTTATTGCTCTGAGTTTCAAGAGGTCTTCTTCATGATAATGAATGCAACATTTTTGCAGTTTTTTTTAACAATCATGAAGATAGTCCCACATTCATCCTTTCATATTAGTTATTTTTATCTTGGGATAAAAATTACCCTTTTTTATTAAGCCAAACTTAACGAAATAAATCAAGCATCCCTCTAGCAGGATACGAGGACAGCCCCCCCTCCCCCCAAAAAAAATCACATGGAATACAAATATTAAATTAAATGTATAAAGTTCAAATCCTTTCAGTCATTCTCTGCAACTTCAAAATAGTGAGTATTTATATCATTAAAGAATTATTTTATCCTCATTTCATTTGCATGGAGTACAAGTACAGAAAATGTTTTTAAAAATTTAGGTCCGAATAGGCAAAACTGTTCACTGCAATACGGATAACGTGCTCAGTAAAAACTACTCATAACTAGTACTGCAGGTAAGTGTTCAAACAAATCAAATATAAGGTTCTTACTTGCCAGATGCATGTATACCTAAGCCATGAAATACTGTATGGAGCGTCAAGGCAGTTCATCAACGAAGTAAAATTATTTTAATAAGAAATGATGTACAGTTCATATTTTGTATCTGTATTTAGAGGGATGTATTTAATGCAATTGTCACAGATACTCTAAAGTGATGAGTGCCATAATTGTCAAAGATCCTTCTAATGTGAATTGAATTGTCCTTGTACTTCTTCCTAGGTGGCTGTGTGGCTTCCCCTGCAAGCATCTGTGCTGACTACATTTCCAGATAGCCCTGTTCTCTTTTAAGTAAATCCAAAATTTAAAAAAAATGTATAGTAGGCTTCCAAGTTGGTCTGTAGTCCACAATGCCAAATGCCAAATACACTGGCTGAGGTAGAAAAAACTTCTTTCACTTGGGTTTTGGGTAAAGAATGGCGGAAAGCATTCCTTATAGCTACTTCAAATTATATCAGCACAGTATCAAGAGCCAGCTCAGGCCTGAATTCTTTGAGCTTACTCGCCAAATGGTATTAAGTGTTTTCTGTCTTGTTTGGAAGTAGGGCATAAATGCATGGGAGGATATGGCCCTCATGGAGTGCATGAATGGTAAACATGCAAAAGAAATTCTCTCGGGTGGCCTAAAAAGTTCTATCACAAAACCAGTTTGCGGATGCAGTAAGAGTTCTTAAGTTGTTTTCTGTTGCAATGACCAACATTCGATTAGCTGGGCCTTCCCCACTGTTGTAAAATAAGACTTCCGAGTACCAGAATTGCTCTGCATTTGATGTTCTTCTGTAGCTGTCTGGCAGTCTTTTTTTTTTCCTCAGGTGTCGAAGGATTGGGTAGTAGATTGCCAGCATCATGCCTGTTTCTACTCAGCGCTCTGCGAATATTTGAAACTGTTGGCAACTTAGCAGCAGCCCCTCTGGATGCTTACTCTATAGCTTGAGTGATTACAACTTGAGGGGTTTCCTCTGTTGTCTGGGCTCTTCGTTTCATAGTAGTTCTCAACTTCAAAACTTCTTTTTTTATGTTGCATATGCAACATGTGTGTGTTCACTAACACGGCCCACAACTTCATTTCCCAGAATTTTAGCGTCAAAACTTCTTTTTCTTTTGCATCTGCGACGTTTACAACTTTGGTTGTAGAATTTTAACTTTTGCTTTGCAACCATGATTCCTTTTCGTGGTGCACTCACATATGAAATAACCACACCCGCCTACTTATTTTGCTTTACATAAACATTTTTCTCAAAGGTGAGTTTGAGACTCCCATGTTCAGACTGAGCTGACTTATACACCCTACCCTTCATTACTTCACACTACACGTTACTTGTCTTCACTTAAGCCCCCTTTACACTGGAGGGCGTCCTTTCTGCGTCCAGCAGTACGGCCCCATTTGAGAGTTAAAAAATTATAATACTTTGCGTGCCGACAACTGGTCGATCATTGAGCATTCATTCTGATACAAAATCAATGCTCGTGCATCCTTATTAAGACCACAGCGATGCCAAATTTCGTGGTCGCAGAAAGGACGCCGTCCAGTGTAAAGGGGGTATTACTAATTGCAGTCAAGCGTACTAGTACTTCTATTCTGGTCACCTGGAAAGCACTATGGTCTAGGTGGGTTGTGGTCAAGCAATTATATGTAACAGTTCATCAAGGGGTTACCTGGATGAGTAAGATTCTCTCTTTACCCCCACCTCTTGCTAGAGATGCACCTTCAGTAAAGACAAGCAACTTGATCAAGGGGGTAGGGGATGGTTAAGCAATTAATAGGGTAACCTGGATGAGTGACATTATATTTTTACCCACCTCTACCTGGAGATTCTTAATAAAATTGTCAGTACTTTTACTCCATGAAAATGAAATTAGAATAAAATGTTTAATGATATCAATAGTCACTATCCTGGAGTTGCATTAAAACATAAGAATAGGTGGAAAGATTTGAAATTTATACTCTTTAATTTATATTTCATGTGATTTCTTTTTTTTTTTTCGGAGTGGGGGTCCTGATACCCCCCGCCCCAGATGCGACTCGCCCGTGTTTTGAGAAAAAGACGCAACTGTAGGAATAAACTGTGCGGATTTCCCAGGAACGACACTGTTGTATGGCTGTTGTAACATGCTGTGGAAAAAGAACGCGATGTTGCTAACAGTTCAGAAGATTCGTAAAGTGCTGCGTAGAAAGTTAGACTGGTGCTCTCTAGGATACAAATATAATTACTATTTCAATGAAGGTATAAGTAGATTATATCTGTTTACAAATAAAGTATCGAAATAAAAAAAATTAAACACTTATTATTTCCCGTGTTCTGGATGATTGGATGTTAGTACAATATCAAACTAACAACCTATTTTCTCGAATGATAACACATAAGGTTAAATAACATTGGCAAAGATCCCAGCACCCTGGGCAACAGAGCGCTGAAAAAATCCCCGGGGTCGAGGAAGGCAGATATATAGAGGTCGGAGGATAATCCTGATCTTCAGGGTGAATGACAATAGTTTTTGTTATCAGCTCGATTCTTCCTCGGTAGCAATGGAACTGTTGAATTGTGCAGTTTAAAACACTTGAGTGCGAAGATATCGTTTTATCTGATATTAACGAGGTTGAATACAACGTTTTTTAAATGCAGGATACACGAGAGAGAAATTGTATTACTCTTGGGCACGAGACCAATGATCTTTATGGAGTAGTTACTGGTAGATGACCACGAATAACTGTTAGATGAAAAGAAAAGACACATTTATTGCACAAATCCACAGTAGGGAAAGAAATTCAACTACTACGGAGATAGCTGCGTTCCTTACACAAGTACTTGTACTTTCGCCAAATATAAGGATTTTTTTTCGTGGATAATCAAAATCAAATAAAACGTTAATGTTGCATGAGTGAAGGTAAGATATTAGAGAATAATGCTTGTAAATAGAGTTAATGGATAGCTGTATTCGGCAGAGGAATGTATCATGTAGTAATTATCGCCAGTGCTGTTTAAAAAAAAGGCCTCATTTACCGCCCTGAGAGTCCCCGCTTAGTCTCTTTGCTGCACAACACAGAAAAAGGAACCGAAGGCAAACGAATTTCATTCAGGAAAATTGTTAATATAAACAAAAGTAATATGCTTTTTGTTGAGATATTTTACGAGACCAATTGACAGTTGTTAAATTCAAGAATGCTGCACCAGGATTTTCTTATTCCATTATTTTTCAAAGTCGCCTTTTTGTGCTTCGGAGATTCTGGTTCGATTTTTTTTCTTGTCGAAAGGTCTTGTTGTATGTCTGCTGTACAATAATTAAACATGATTGCACGTCAGGCCCTTGCCCCTGGTCTGTGAAGAAATCACGATCACTGCTGATTACTTATCTTCTGTGGTGCATGTAATGGTTCATTTTGTAAAAAGAGATTAAAGCACCAATATTTATCTACAAGGTGTCAGTAAGATTGAAACCCGTCAGGGTGACAAACAATAACTGCTAGAACTTGTCGCCTACGGTAGGATTTTTTTTCTAAAAATTCCACAAGCGGCTCCTCTTAATTCAAATATGATTGACTTCCTCTTTGAGAATACACCAAGATCCTTGTTGACTCTTCATGCACGAAAATAGAGTAAATAAGAAATTATATAGGTCAAGCCTTTGCACCTTTTTTTCTAAAGAATAGGCCATACCTGGGATAGCATTATATATTGGACTGTTGTTATTTCGGCGAAAACGAGGAGGAAGAATGTTTGCTCGTAGCAAAGAGGAAGAGGTGTAATGCTGTTACCGTCACTTCGACCGGGAACAGTCACAAGTGGACTTACACTGCGTTTCAAACGAGATGACTTCTGCATGAAATCGTGGGTCACATTAAAAGGAATACTTGGGTTAGAGGAATAGCGAGTGTTCTACTATAAGGCGCTAATATCGGAATTTCATCTGGAGACACGATATCTGACACCGAACTAATCATTTAACCACAGAATTGGAGGTGCTTTGTAAGTTATAATTAATCTTCTTGATGCGTGCTTCGTAAGTTATATATTAATTTTGTTGATAAGACAAGAGCCTCTTACGTTATTGTAAAGTTGCCACCAACGAGTTGAAAGTTACCGAGAGCGAGATAACTAAGTTGTCATTCATTATGCATCGTATTGTTATGTTTACATTCTGATAATGTTATCTTTATTTTTTTATGTATAACATAATAGCTTGAAACGTTTTAACTGTTGGTTTATTTATACAATTGCACGTGGTGTTATCACTTTGATTAAGTCGGCCTGTCGAAAAATATTTTAGTATTCATGATGAACTGAGATCTAACGGAATGGGCGGAGAAAACAACCCCTCTCCCACTCCACTTTTACACGCTGTCAAATACTTTAACCTCAGCTGTATAACTCACCCAGCTTCCATTACCCTTTAATATCACAATCAAATCAGACCAGATCCTACGACATCGATCTGTTTTTATTTTTTGTTCGTGTGTTTGTCTGCAATTTATCAACCACAGGTCAGCTGTCATATTAGACAGAATACAGTAGTCGACTCCTTATAGTCGACTCGATTTATGAAAACAGTTTTCCAACCAGAAAGTGTGTCGGTAACTTAGTACTTACCTTCACTGAACTACCGGTAAGTTCGATCTTCTCAAACAATGGCTTGCGAGCTGGGACATACCATTCATTTTAACCCTTAATCAGTTTTATAAATTACGCACGATGCCTTAGTTTATTCATTTCTGTTTGGGTTGTTGAAAACCTGGCTATCCGACATATCTGTACAGGTATAGTTAACCCATCAAATTCGATCTACATTGATCACCTAGCTTTCTAAAACCAGGAAGTGTAGTTGCGATTGCCATATTTATCTTCCATCTGCCGGCACAGTATACGATGACTTTGTCCCCATTCCCATACCTAGCTCGATCTAGCGGGATCGCTCCATCTCCGAGGGGATTCTCGCTAAAATTGCCTTCGGCTAAAGCGGCTTAGAAGTCTGGCACGCCTACTGAAGCTGCTTAGAGATAGTTTACTACTCCCTAACAGCTTCAGTAGGCGTCAGACATCAGAGCCGCTAAAGCTGAAAGCGATTTAGCGAGAATCCCCTCGGAGATAGACCGACCCCGCTAGATCGATTTAGGTATGGGAATGGGGTTATACACCCCATTTCCATAGATTAGATCGACCTACTTTAGATCGACCTAACTCCCTGGGGGTTCACGCTAAATAGCTGTCAGCCGGTCGGACACGAAAGTTAATTACCTCCTTAACAGCTTGTAGTAGGCGGGACTGACATTTAAGTCGGATTATCTGAAAGTAATCTAGTGAGACTCCCCGCGGGGATAGATCGATCTAAAATCTATGGGAATAGAGCCATAGACCCCATTTCCAGAGATTAGATCGATCTACTTTAGATCGACCTAACTCCCTGGGGGTTCACGCTAAATAGCTGTCAGCCGAGCGGACACGAAAGTTAATTACCCCTTTACAGCTTGTAGTAGGCGGGACGGACATTTAAGCCGGATTATCTGATAGTAATCTAGTGAGACTCCCCGCGGGGATAGATCGATCTAAAAGCTCTGGGAATACAGCCTTAGTCCCATAAGTCGATTGTTTAACAAGTCAAGGAGCGGCGTAAAAATGTGAAATATTGCACACTTTATGAGAGGTCTCTTTCACAGGTGACGCCGTCATACACAGGTGATGTTATGCGCCCTTTTTATGAAGCGATATATCATTTCTTTTACAAATAACCCTGTATAATAAGATTACAGGGAAACGACACATTTGACACATGTTAGTTCCCTTTTGTATTTTATTCAGCAGAGACTTGTGTCGGTCGGCTTTTTATAGTGGTAAGGCAATCTCTAAAGAAGACGATTTATGGGTTGTAAAAGGGGCATGTTATTAATTCATCTATAAGTTCAGAAGGGTGGTGAATTACATGACTTTAAAGACGTTTAAATCCCATGCCTCTTTGAGCAGATGTATGTTAACAGTGCGTGAAAGAAAGAACACAGAAACCACAGGTGCGTAGGATAAAAAACTTTAATTGGTTAATAATTAGATATAAAGTGGGTCATAAGTGGGATTAATTATTTGCCAGGAGGGCTGGCATATCTGTGTCAGTGGCAATATGCGCTGAACGCAAGGTTTGTTGATAAACTGATGAATTCACAGGTACTGGTAAGTTGCGTAAATCGTCCTTAACCTATTTATCTACTCTTAAGTTATGTATTCTGTGCTAATGCAAATTAACCAGCAGTTTAATCATTGGCTGTAAACAGAATAACTCGGTTTGCATTGTATGCATTCAATTTTTGATTCAGCTAACTAAAAGGTATTTCGTTACTACAGAAAAGGCAATACGTACCATTATGCAAACGCATGTCCTGAACATTGAAAACGCCAGATAGACTTTACGGTCATTGAATTTTCATTGTGCATGTGTTGTATCATTTGATGTTGTTTCGTGTTTGCTTAAAAAAACGACGCAGTAGAAGCCGACGTTGGGTATATTTTACATTATTTGAGACCATAGACGTTGCTCCCGTCGAAGTATCTTGTTGTTGCTAATGTGCAGTAGTTCAGCAAAATATCAAGATTTGCAGTTTGCAGAAAATTTGCAGTTTAAAGTCTAAGACAAGAGATTAAGAATTTTGTCGCTAAGCCCATTTCAAACAAGATAAACAAGTTTGCGCAGGTGTGGAATGGTTTTAAGGGAGCCGTTAAAACAAATGGGACCTCTGCATAGCGTGTCTTTAACAAATGGAAAGAACACGGGATAACATTTGCCAGAATAAGTTAATTCCCTGCTATTTTTATGTTTATTTTTACTTTATTTTTTATCATTATTTCTTTGGGTGTGTGCGTACGTGTGTGTGTTTGTGTTTAGTGAAGGCTGACTACACTGGGGTGGCTCCAAGATTATTTTAAGGGGGGGGGGCAGTTTTTTTTAAATGACATGCGGATGTGAGCCCGACCCTTGCCCCCTTGGTGTGGGGTTTGATGTTTTGGAGGGCAACCGGTACCATTTGGTGCATTTTAGAACTAAGCTTCAGGTCTTCATAATTCTAATATCAAGAAGGGGATATTAGGGTGATTTTTCCCAAAAACCGAAAGGGCGGGGGGAGGGGGGGGTCAGCAGGACCCCTCTGACACCCCCCTAAATTCGCCACTGATACAGAGCTTAGACTGCTTTAGACATGTTACATTTACTCGACTCGTTCACATTTGTACAGCACTAAAACAAGGCGGAGATTATATGGAGAATAAATCGTCCTAGATATAACTTACTGTACTTTATGCCGCCTATCTTTTACAGATTAACTGCGCACCACCATGAAGAAAATAAAGCACATGCTCGGCAAGGGTGACGCGAACATCAGCGGGCACTCGAGTGGTGGACAGAATGACCAACCGTTCACCATCTCGGGCCCGACGGACGTTAAGCACACACTGCACGCTGAACATGACGCCCAGAGTGGACAAATACAGGGGCTGCCAAAAGAGTGGTCACAGTGGCTGGTAGAATCCAACATCAGGTACCGTGTGACAACAACATTAAGTGTAATTTTTGTCTTTACCAAACGTAGATACAAGAGTGCACTCGCACGTGTGATATATTATGTGTTTGTGTGTATGAGGGGGTGGAGGGGGGGGGGGCAGCGATAGCATGTATCCGAGTTAATACAAGAGGGCACTAAGGCCCGTGAGTAAAATACTTTAGACCCCCTCCCCCCCCCAAAAAAAAAAAAAAGAAAAGAAAGAAAGAAATTTGACGACGAGGCACATTAGGTGTATAAAGCTTCAAAACGTTTTGATGTTTTAATTTCAATAATGTTTCAATAGTCGTTTCTTAGTGTATTAGTTAAATTTCGATAAGGATAATTTTGAACAACAACATTTCTCTGTGCTACAAATTCTAGTCTTTTGAAAAATCTAACTCAGTGTACTGACCAACGTGTTATCAAGTGCATGAATATGTCTTTTTTTCGATCTTATTTAGCTTAAGCGATCAGAAGCAAAACCCAGGTTTGGTGGTCAATGCCATGAAGTTACTGGACAACCGGCACACAGCCACTGGGGAGAAATACATGGACTTTCAAAAATGGAACTCCCAGGATTCTCTTGACCACGTGAGTGACACATCCTCAGAAAGCGGAGCCACGCCCACCGATGACGACGTGAGTATATATCACCAGCAGCATTCACACTAATATTTAATACGGCGAATACATGTCGCTTTATGTGACGTTGTAGTCTATTTAGTAATAATGCTTTCAATTCAAAGTTACATAAAGTAATAGTTCTTTTAATTCGAAATTTCGCGATTTTAGTGAAAGTTGAGAGATGAGTTTGATGGCTTAGGCCTATATCTGCTAAAAAGACGTTCGAAAATATCCTCAGTGCGATTAGAAGACAATTGTTGCAATATATCCTTCGTATGCCTGGATTCATGCGAATTTCGACTTGAAATGCTACGTGATAGTTAAATGTATTTTTACTTTCTTGTGTTATCCATATATTTATTATGTTTTTACAGATACTTTAATATAGATCTATAATTTACATTTTAAATATTAAACGAATCACTATCATATCATAAATATAGATTGAACGATTACAAACTGTGGACCTAGCTTTTAGTATAGAATGCAGTCGAACCTTCCTTTCACGAGAGTAGAATGGGTCAGCTGTGCAGGTTGTGACCTAGTTGTGTTTGATGTCATGCATCTTATGTATATTATTGCAGTAGTTGTGATGAATGTGTTCTCACCACGGCACTGTTATAAGAAGAAACCAATCTCTTTAGGGCGTATTTCCAGAGCTTTTAGATCGATCTATCCCCGCGTTGAGTCTCATTAGAGTACTGTCAGATAATCCGGCTTAAATGTCCGTCCCGCCTACAACAAGCTGTAAGGGGGTAATTAACTTTCGTGCCCGCTCGGCTGACAGCTATTTAGCGTGAACCCCCAGGGAGTTAGGTCTATCTAATCTCTGGGAATGGGGTCTAAACCAGGGGCTGATTCAGGCCGTCTTCTGGGTCTTCCGGAAGACGGTCAGATTTTCAAGTTTTCATTGATGGGTATCTAATTTTTTCTGTCGGAAGACGGTCAAAAATGGAGGCTGGATCAACAAAGATAATTTGGAAGACTGTCAGAAAGTACATGTATCTCTGGATCCGCCCCTGTAAACGGGCTACTGACCTTGCTGTTACGAGTACATTGTTATATGTTATTTCAAAAGATGCATGTATATACAGGAAAATAAAGCTAACCTCCCGACATTTATTCTGCCAATCTGATAAACTTTTTACTTGACAGGGCTAGAAGGCAGCTCACCTTATTTTCCTTTAATTTATTAAAAGCTGCTGACAAAAAAAAAAAAAAATACATACAGGTTAAATATACCAAGGAAGGAGATCGGGTTCATCACACGACCTTGCTATTTGTTTCAGCAAACGCTGGGGTTTGACTATAGACGATATCTTGTCTCGTTATACGAAGACGCCGAGTTGAACCAACACTGTATTGAGGAGAAAGTGGAGAAAATGAGGCTAGAGCGAGACCAGGTGGTGGGCGGGACCACAGGTGTCGAACAGGTAAATTAAAGGTATACTGAATGGATTTGAACTTTTCCAAAGTCAAATTTTCTATGGGTACATATCCTGCAAAGCTACTATTCTTTCCTAATTCAGAACTTAAAAAAAACTATTAAGCCCCTCTAATTCAAGTACTTGAATTCGATGTACGGAAGACAAGGCGCCCATACATTTGGAACTTATTTTTTAAATTAAAAATGGAATAAAACATAGACGGGTGGGGCAATGACCCGTGAGTAGGAGAATTTTTTTTCCGAAAAAAAAAAACATATTGGTGCGTAAATCTCGTATAGAGTACCTTAAATTAAAGTAAAACAAACGATGGTGGATTTATACTTGTGTTGAAAAAAGGAGTGAATGTTTTTTTCTGTCTCACTTAGCCAATATCTACAGTAACGCCAAAATATCACTTCATAGGGCTTCTTTTTTCTTTCTTTTTCTTTACAGATAGGTAGGACAACTTTGATAATAAGTAAGGTCGCAGTAACTGTATTCACATTGTCATCACATTGAAAGGCTGCAGTAAAATTGGTTTGACTTTTAGGATTTTTTCCTTAATTTGAAACATGCAGTTATCAGAATATTTCCACGTTTTTGCCGTATGCGTTTCATATTTCAGAACAACTGAAATGGTATAACACACGTGGGTTCTTTTAGTGCTCTACTTTTCTGGTTCCACGATTTTACAGGACAAAGCAGCAGCGGATAAAAAGGGTGAAAACGCGCAGCACAGTACTAATGACGACAAGGAACAAATCAAAAAGGGAACTCACGACAAAATCGAAGAAAAAGACAAAGATAAAAAGACGGAAAACAAAACCGATGAAAATCTCCCCAAAGCACAATTGCGACAGAAAAAGAAGAAAAAGAAAAAGCACGAATCCGCGGTAAAGATGACTGAAAAAGAAATCATCAAGAAACTGAGTGAGTGGGTTTTAATTCACTAAAACCGTATAGGTTGATTTGAACCTTTGATAGAGAGAAACTGTTCAGGGGCGGGTCTAGGATTATTTGAAGGGGGGGAGGAGGTCCGCGGATGTGAACCCGACCCTCACCCATCCTTGGTGTGTGGTTCAGGGCCTGCTGAAGGACCCCGAATTTTTTTTAGTATTTTAGAGGTCAAACGGTGCCATGTTGGTACGGCTTAGAACTATGATTCAGCTAGTCAAAATTCTAATTTCAAGAAGGGACCATTGGTGTGGTTATTTTTTTAGAAATGGAATGGGATCAGGATCCCCCTGACCCCCCCCCCCTTCCAATTCCGCCACTGGTGTCCTTTAGACAATAGCTTCATATACCTCAAGTCGAATGTACTTAAAGTGTAAATAGATGACAATTTTTAATTTTATTTTTCTGCTTATGTAAGTCTTGATATCAGTCGAATTCACGGATAATATAGACGTTGGAAAGGGGTTACAGTCTGATGAGTAATGCTAGCACGAGACAATTTTTTTACGCCTATATAATGATGTCAGATATATTTTTTCTCTATTACAGATGAACTTGCAAATATGACGGACGATCCACTGATGCGATATAATTTGGGAAAGAAACTTGGAGAAGGGTAAGCTTGTTAATAATTTCCTCCTTACAAAACGGAAAATAAAGAAGAAAATGTTTGAATTTTATTCACAATAAAAAAAGAAAAAACCAAACCGTTTTGAAGATGATGTTCCATTAAAAGTATAAGTGCCCCCCCCCCAAAAAAAAAAAAAAATGTTAAGGTCTCGTGTGTATCTGGAGGATTTTCCAATTTTTCGTACGTATTACCACGACAAATGATATGGTTAGAATCAAATGTATATTTCCAGAGCATCAGGAACTGTTTGCCTAGCTACAGACATTACCACGGGGGGCACTGTGGCAATCAAGATGATGGATTTGGAGAAACAGACCAAGAAGGAAATGATCATATCGGAAATTCTGGTAACTGTTATACTTTAAGCCAGTATTCTGGCTAAGGAATTGGAGGTTAGGCAGGTGCTCTACTTGTTACGTCCTAAGTTTATCGTCAGATCAGTGAATCGGGGTTAATTTGGTGCGTCCGTGCATGTGTGTGTGTGTGTGTGTGTGGATATGCGTGTGTGCGTGCGTGCGTGCGCTCTTGCTGTTCTTCTCTTTTGTCTTAGTGTCTTAGCGTCTATCTATAATACCAGATTTTCGTAAATATATTATTTTTGGGTTTCAGGTGATGAAAGAACAACATCACCCACACATCGTTAACTTTCTAGACTGCTATTTGGTGGAGAAAGAGTTTTGGGTTGTCATGGAAGTCCTGGAAGGTGGCGCTCTCACCGACGTTGTCTACGAGACGGTCATGACGGAGGGACAAATGGCGGCTGTTACAAAAGCCTGCATCAACGCCCTGGCGTTCTTACATTCCAAAAACATTATACACCGAGATATCAAAAGCGATAACGTATTACTGGGACAAGATGGAGAGGTGAAACTTACGGATTTCGGGTTTTGTGCGCAAATTACTCCGGAGAGAATGAAAAGAAACACGCTCGTGGGAACTCCCTATTGGATGGCTCCAGAGGTGGTAGCAAGGTGAGTTCTTTATTTTTAAATTTCGAAGTTTGTTCTATCAGATGATTTTGCTCGTATTTTTTGTAAATGTCTTAGTCTTCGAAAGCGTGCAACTTTGTAATTTTTATAGTTAACACTTGAATTGAATTTTTCTTGCTTTCAATTTTTTTAATCATTAAATCTTTATTAATTGTAATATATAGTTCTTAAATTACAAGGCGCATTGAGATTTTAAATGAAATGCACCATATAAAAATTAGTTGTTATTATTATTATTATTATTATTATTATTATCATTATTAGGCCTATTATTATTATCACCCGTGATAGGACATATCTTTTAATGTAAGCGCAGCTGGAACTAACAAAATCCAATTATTATTTATCTTTTTTGACGAATGATCTATTAGCAACCTAATATATGCAATTTCATCACTAAATTATGTCCCCAGGAATCATTACGGCAAGAAGATTGACATATGGTCTCTCGGTATCATGCTGATAGAAATGATTGAAGGGGAGCCGCCATATTTGACTGAAGCCCCGTTGAGAGCCCTATATTTGATCGCAACCAATGGAAAACCAGAAATCAAGTCGGCAAACAGGCTGTCTCCAGAGGCGAGAGATTTCCTGGACAGGTGTTTGGAGGTGGATGTCGAAAAGCGAGCCTCCGCTGCACAGCTTCTTGACCATCCATTTTTGGCCAAGGCCAAGCCGCTCACGTCGCTGAAACCTTTAATTGAAAAGGCGAAAGTGTGTGCCGCGAACAGGAGCAGTTAGAGAGAGATGAATTTTTTTTAGTTTGTTAAACGGAAAGCCAAACTAGTGACGTTTTCTGAAAACATTTATAGAAAGACCTCCGACCGGTATTTGCCACGGCAAAAGCGAACACTTGTAAAATTGGTGGCAAGAACCAGGCCACTCTCATGGCGAGATATCAACTGTGGGCTGTGCAGTCAAAATCGGCGAAAAATTGTCCATGAAGTTGATAAACAGAGATGGAATGAAAGGATTAAATCTGCCTTGATCATTTGACTTTGTTTAATAGTGGATTCCATAACACCAATTCTAAAAGGATTATTTGGTATTCTGCGACTACTGTTTATTCTTACACCGCATAAATGCTGCGATCAGCCTGTCTCTGCATCATCACCGATTTAACATTAAGATCACCTGTAGACAGTCTCTCTAATGATGTAGTATATACCTTGGACAAATCCATTATAGTACCTATGTTGGACCAAGCATATGCAAATATATCAGGAAAAATTAATTGAGGCCTGTTGTTAATAAAGTACTTAGTAACTCTCCCACAAACTACACCCATTTTTACTAATATATTTGTTTTGTATATTAAATATGCAATGCGTCTGGGAAATGAACGGTTAAAAATCAGACATTGGAATATTCCACAACTTCCTAGATCAGACACTACATTTTTCTCACTCATGCCAATGATTTGCATCCATAAACTTATAGTTAAATTACTCGTATCTATTATTAAAATCTGCAACTGAATCAGTAAAATAACATATATGCCTAAATTTTACTGCACGTAAAAGTTTCACAATTTTAAATGTTGAATCAATAAGTCATTAATATACCATATATGGTATTGCATGGCGATTTATGGAATAAATCTCTGGCTGATGTTCATTACTCATATTAGTTTTCACATTTAACTGGCCCCAAGGTGAAGTAGGCTTGTTCACTGGCGTCTCCCGTATCGCCAAATCTCAGCTTTGTCACCGGAAGCTTAGTGACGTCAGTGATGTAGCCTTCGTCTTGACGCCAAGTATTGTCGTTCATGTTGCAGTTGCACTTAAGTCCTTAGAAATATAAAATCAAAACCTTAGCATGTTTCCAGAACAGTTGAGGTCATTTGAAAGGTAAATACGCATTCATGAATGAAACGGTTAGAATTGTGAATGACATGTATTATAAAGAAATGTAGCTTGGTGCCGCATATCTGACGTCAGACAGAAGACGTGTTCAATGCTTCCTGTGGCTCAAGTCAAATTCTTAATAAATAATATTCCGTGCTAACTCACCACCAGCGCATGAATTGGTTCTTTTACAAGCACATCCTCCCAGGTTTGGATCCCCTCCAGGCCAATACGTCATCTTTTCGCCGTCACGTGACACCCACCATGAATAGCGGATACCAGTACTGGCATCGTTAATGAGAGCTCCGTGACATTCGTACTTCAAATGCTGTTTACAGTTAGTCGAGTTGGCCATCAGGGCTGTAAGCTGCCTCATTGTGACGTCATACAGAACACGAACTGCATGATGGAAAAATGAATGGATTTGACGTATTGAATCAGTTAAATTGAATTTGTGGAACGAATAAAACTTTTTTCAGGCGTTTAACATTTTTTATGGTCGTTTGTGTGAAAAAGATGCCACGCGACAATTTAAATGATAATTGATTTACAAAGACTTCAAAAACAGTTGTAAAAGAGACTCGAATGAATTCAGGTTGATGCAAAAACTTTCCTGTAGCAAAAAAGAACTTACAAATATGTGATCCATCCTTTTCGTAACCATCCGTCTTAGTTCGGAGCCCTTGGTCGTGGCCGATGGACGCCGTGGGGGGTGATGACGTCATGGTGCACCACACATAGAAAGCTGGAACGCCGCCTTTACCGTCCACGTCCAGTAAATAGTGGCCGTCCTGGTCGTGACCATTTCTCTTCCACTCGGAGCAGCTAGAATAAACTGATAATGCAACATGGGATGAAACAGGTGTCGAGAACCATTACACAATTGTCATGCTGATTTGCATGATCTGGTTGTTTTCCCGCCGTATTAATAACTCACTAAGGGTGCTTTCCCAGAGATTTAGATCGATCTAAAGATTAAGTTTTAGATCGACCTAACTCCCTGGGGGTTCACGCTAAATTGCAGTCAGCCGAGCGGGGACCATAGTTAATTACCCCCTTACAGCTTTTAGTAGGCGGGACAGACGCTTAAGCCGGCCAAGCTGACAGTAATCTAGTGAGACTCCCCACGGGGATAGATCGATCTAAAAATCTATGGAAATGGGGTGTTAGTTTATCGAATCACATGCAACAATAGAAGGCCATACCTTTAGAAGAGGCATCTACTTTTGACAACAGCTGCGCTCTTTCGTTTTCAATTCTAGTCAACCACAATTATCAAACTTACAGAAACTCACTTAGTTTATCGTATCACATGCAACAATATAAGACCCTACCTTTAGAAGAGGCATCAACTTTCGACAGTAACTGCGCTCTTTCGTTTTCAATTCTACTGAGCCAAAGCAAAACATTCCCTTGCTCTTTCTCCAGGGTATGAAGTCTCGCTAACATGGACGCCAATTCAGCTCTTGTGGCATTGTTAGCAGAAATAACAGTTTGTAGAAGAGGCTGTAACTCCTGACGGGTCACTGCATCTAAACTGTTCAATGCCGACTGCAACTGTTGGATTACCATGGTGACGTTGTCGTATTTCATACTAACCGCCTGGAGAGATATCATAGAACACGGTTTTAACGAGGGATTAAAATGGGAAGACTAGGCTTTTCTTATCGCCGAACTAACAACATGCATTTCTGACTGGGTATCGATGAGCAAGAATCCCTTTTTCTATGGTACGTCCCTTTATAAAATTTACATACAGTGTATAAACATCAGAGTATAAACATACAGTCCGTAGGCACTATTCCTCAATCTAGATCACAGAGTTTCTTAGGTGAAATATGTAGTTTATTCCTAAAAATTGGGAATTTACATCATTTTTGCTACTCTCTACCACTTTTTATCTGCAACAACAACAATTGGTCTGAGTGTCTTTTGTTCGCAATAGAACAGAAAGAAAAAAGAAATCACCTATGTGATTAAAATGGGAATTTGCGACTGTAGAACACAGAAATATACGGAATAGTACAATACTTATTTTTGATAGTTCTCTATATTTGTTAACAAACATACAACCAACCATTTTGTAGGCAGACTTAAACTAATTCGGAAAATACGCTTTCTGACGGTATTCAAATACCTAGATCTATATAAAAGATTATAGGAAAGATTGGTATGTAAGTTTTTTTAGAAATTATACGTATCCAAATTTTTGTTGGCGAGTACCGTTTTTTGCGCACTCGATAGCAATACAAAAGAATGAAAACAATAACAACCTGTGTGAGCAGACCCTGTTCAAGAAGCTTATTTTGAAGTTCCACCAACTTCACCAGAGCTGTGTCTCCATCTTTGCACGTGGTGTCACACGTTCCGCGGTGGCCGAGATTGACGTTGTAAACGCATTGACCGTCTTCAAAAGAGCATCCTGCTACGGGCTTTATTTGTGGAGAATCTGTACCTGCCTTAGCAGCAAAGGTTTCAGAACCAACCGACAAAAAGATTAGCAAACTAACGGTAACTTTGAGTCGGAACATCGTCACTGCTTTGTTAGTGATCGCGTATGAAACTCGATCTTAAATGGTGTGGACTGGTTTGTTTTACCACGACTGGTTAGGGTTAAGCCTAGATTATTGATCATCCAGCGTCAAGCAATATCAGATAAACCTGTTTAATACGATTTACCAAATCACCTCGACACGCTTCCCTAATATGATATTTTAGTCGGGAGTTATTCTTAGCTGCCGAATATCACTCAAGATGAAGATGCGTGATAATTAATGCCTAATACTTGCACTCCCCGTGCAGATTCTTCTTTAACCCAAGACTTGAAAATCTCACAGTTACTACAAGTAGATATTCAACTAGAGGGCAAACTTGCGTCGCAAAATATATGTAATACGTATTTTTTATCTACAATGTAGTCTTGTTGACGACGTTATGTTTCCCTCTCGAACATAACCATCAGTCTTTTAAGAATACAGGTAAACTATTCTTCCTGACCTTCCTTATCAATCTTCTTCCCTTTCGTGGATGGTAACGTTTTCCAAAGAGAAATAATGGTCACAAAATTGTATACATAGCATTAAATTAAAAAATTTATGTGAAGTACGACTTGAAGACTAACATACACAGTTTTGAAAATCAATAACTGCCGTGACAAAAAAAAATGAAAGGAAAGTCCGATCACACACACACACATATATATATAAGCTACGACGCTTCCGTGATATGCAAGAACACCTAGAGCGTCAGCTGCAGATCTTCAAAGCATGTATTGCGAAAGAGTGGCAGTATAATATACCTGATATTATACTATATTACCTGTGTATTACCTGATATTATACTATATTACCTGTGTATTACCTGATATTATACTATATTACCTACATACATACCGAGAAAGTATGTGCATTTCATCGAAAAAACGCCCCTGAACCTTAATTAAGCATATATCACAACGATCACAAAACATCTTTAAGCATGTATTTGATTGGAGGTTACTGTTACTGATTGTGCCAGTTGTACAAGTTGTCCAACCGCAGTTGGCGGAAGCAAGTATATATAATTATGCATCATAAACTATAGGTTGACCGGTAGAATTGCGCATTGTGGTAAAAATCAAGCCACTCTCATGACGACTTAAAACCAGAAATGGTGAATGAAGTTGAATAACCGAGTATGAAATGAAGGTTAGAACTGAATCTAGTTCTTAAGCATCTTTTATCATTTGATTTTGTTTAACAGTGGGTTCTTTAACACCAATTCTTAAAGGGCTATTTGAAATTCTGCGACTACAGTTTATTCTTACATAAATGCTGCGATTAATCCGTCTCTTCATAATCACTGATTTAACATCCGGTACACCCTTGGCCAAAGTCTGTCTAATGATGTGGCATGTAGGCCTACCATGGACAAATCGTACATATTTTGGACCAAGCATAAACAATTGAATTAGTTAATAGTTACTTCAGTCATGCTTATGCCTAATGAGGTACTTTGCAACTATCCAGCAAACCGCAGCCAATGTGACTAATGCGAATGTTTTGAATATTATTAAAGGTGCGATGTGATCGAGTGGGAAATAAACAGTGTACGTCAACACAGGTCTTTGTAACACTGGGATACTCCACAACTTCCTAGATCAGACAATACACTTTTCTCGTGCAATCATTTGCATCAATAGACGAAATTGTAATACTTGTATCTATTATCGAAATCTGTAACTGAATCAGTAAAATGTCATATCCGTAAATAACACTGCACGTAGAAGGTTCACAATTTCAAATGATTTAAAATTTTCAATCAATAAGTCAGTACTGTATCATTAATGGTGTCGCCATGCGATTGATGAAATACATTTCAAACTAATTAACGTTCATTACTTATATTAGTTTTCACATTCGACCGGCCCCAAGGTGAAGTAGGCTTGTTCACCAGCGTTTCCCGTATCGCCAAATCTCAGCTCTGTCACCGGAAGTTTACTGACGTCAGTTATGTAGCCCTCGTCTTGACGCCAAGTTAGGTCGTTCATGTCGCAGTTGCACTCGTGTCCTTAGAAAAATAAAATTGTAACCTGAACAAGTTTCCAGAACATTTGAGATCATTTGTATAGTAAAAACACGCATAAATAAAACGGTTAGAATATTGAATAATATGTATTAAAATGAAATGTAGCTTAGTGCCGTATATGTGACGTCACAATGAAGAAAAATTGCAGATTAGTAGAAGGGTCTTTCCGATGGCTTTAGTAAAGTCTAATTATAGGGCAAAACTCACCACCAGCGCATGTATTGGTTCTTTTACAAGCGCATCCTCCCAGTTTTGGATCCCCTCCAGGCAAGTACATCATGTTTTCACCGTCACGTGACACCCACCACGTAGATTGGCCACCACTACCGCCGGTGTTAATGAGAGCGCCGTGACATTCGTACTTAAAATATTGTTTACAGTTAGATGAATTGCTCATCAGGGCTGTAAGCTGCCTCATGGTGACGTCATACAACACTTTACCTGTATGATAAGACGAATTGATTTGACGTATTGAATCAGTTATGTACTGCCAAATTGAATTTGGTGTCCTTATCAAACTTTCTATTTAGTTGTTTTATATATATCACGGTAGTTTGGTGAAAAAGATGCCACGCGATATCTAAATGATATTTGTTTTACAAAGACTAGTCCAATGAAAAGAAGACTTCAACGAGTACTTTTGAAATTAAGGTTGGTGAAAAGTTTTTCTGTAGAAAAAATCTTACAAATATGTGATCCAACTTTTTCGTAACCAACCGTCTTAGTTCGGAGACCTCGATCGTGGCCGATGGAAGCCGTAGGGGGTGATGACGTCATGTTACACCACACGTAGAAAGCTTGAACGCCGCCTTTACCGTCCACGTCCAGTAAATAGTGGCCGTCTTGGTGGTGACCATTTCTCTTCCACTCGGAGCAGCTAGAATATACTGAAAATGCAACATCGGATAAAACGTTGCTGAAAACCATTACTCGATTGCCATGCTGATTTGCATAATCTGGATGTCTTCCCGCCGTAAATATTACATTTTATTCATTTAGAATCAAACCGTGTTTATATGTAGCGCTAAGAGGTGATTTTTCATTTATCATTTATGAAAATGTAATCTAGCACTCCGCCAACATTTCACTCTACGGGTATGTTTCTGACCGATGTATTGTGAGGATCCTTTCTTACTACCACCCGGCATTAATTTGTCAGTGAAATATTATCTGAAAGTACTTAATACATGCCGAATTACAATGTGTGAATATCATTTGTGCATTGTGACAAGGACCACCCTATCTCAACTTCCAATGATTGAATTAATAATATATAAATTCTAAAACATTAAAGTAAATTTATTTTCCATACAGCGAACCCTCACTGTATGTACAGCATAAAGAGAGGTTTGGTTTTGATTTCCTTAACTATTTACGGACAAGGAAAATTATGGAACTTACAGAAAAATCACCCAGTTTATCGTATCACATGCAAGAATACAAGGCCGTATACCTTTAGAAGAGGCATCAACTTTCAACAATAACTGCGCTCTTTCGTTTTCAATTCTATTTAACCATAGCAGAACATTCCCTTGCTCTTTCTCTAGGGTCTGAAGTCTTGTTATCACGGGCGCAAGTTCCGCTCTTGTTGTATTGTTAGCGGAAATAACAGTTTGTAGAAGAGGCTGTAACTCATGACGGGTCACTGCATCTAAACTGTTCAATGCCGACCGTATCTTCTGGATTACCATGGTGACGTTGTCGTATTTCATACTAACCGCCTGGAGAGATACCAAAGAGCATGGTTTTAACGAGTGATTAAAATGGAAAGTCGAGGCTCTTCTTATCGCCGAACTAACAGCACAAGAATCCTTTTTTCTATGTGTCCTTTATAATATTAAATACAGTATACAACTGTCTGTAGGCATACCTAGAAAATCGGAAACATGTTTTCTCGTAGTATTCTTAAATCTAAATCACAGAGATTCTTAGATAAATTTATACTTAAGATATTCTTAAAAATTACNCATGTAGGCCTACCATGGACAAATCGTACATATTTTGGACCAAGCATAAACAATTGAATTAGTTAATAGTTACTTCAGTCATGCTTATGACTAATGAGGTACTTTGCAACTATCCAGCAAACCGCAGCCAATGTTACTAATGCGAATGTTTTGTATATTATTAAAGGTGCGATGTGATCGAGTGGGAAATAAACAGTGTACGTCAACACACAGGTCTTTGTAACACTGGGATACTCCACAACTTCCTAGATCAGACGCTACACTTTTCTCGTGCAATCATTTGCATCAATAGACGAAATTGTAATACTTGTATCTATTAACGAAATCTGTAACTGAATCAGTACAATATCATATCCGTAAATAACACTGCACGCGGAAGGTTCACAATTTTAAATGATTTAAATTTTTCAATCAATAACTCAGTACTGTATCATTAATGGTTTCGCTATGCGATTGATGAAATACATTTCAAACTAATTAACGTTCATTACTTTATTAGTTTTCACATTCAACTGGGCCCAAGGTAAAGTAGCCTTGTTCACCGGCTCCTCCCGTATCGCCAAATCTCAGCTCTGTCACCGGAAGTTTAGTGACGTGAGTGATGTAGCCCTCGTCTTGACGCCAAGTTAGGTCGTTCATGTCGCAGTTGCACTTGTGTCCTTAGAAATATAAAAACAAAACCTTAACATGTTTCCAGAAGAGATGAGATCATTTGTATGGTAAATACGTACATGTAAATGAATGAAACGGTTAGAATTATGTATGCCATGTATTATAATGAAATGTAGCTTGGTGCCGAATATCTGACGTCACACAGAAGACAAAATGCTTCCAATGGTTTCAGTCAAATTCTTTATAAATAATATATCGAGGTAATTAACTCACCACCAGCGCATGAATTGGTTCTTTCGCAAGCGCATCCTCCCAGTTTTGGATCCCCTCCAGGCCAATACGTCATCTTTTCACCGTCACGTGACACCCACCATGAGTAAGCGGCACCACCATAGTTAATGGCAGCTCCATGACATTCGTACTTGAAATACTGTTTGCAGTTCGTCGGGTTGGCCATTAGGGCTGTAAGCTGCCTCATTGTGACGTCATACAAAACACGAACTGTAGGAAGGAAAAATGATTAGACGTTTCGAATGACCTTAATTTATTTCGTGGCTCTAATAAACCTTTGTGTTCAGGCGTTTTACCTATTTATGATCGTTTGGTGAAAAAGATGGCAAGCACTAATCTTAATGATATTTAATTTACAAAGACTAAAGACAGAAGAAAAAGAGACTGGAACAAGTAATTCTGAAATTTAGGTTCATGCAAAAATTTTCCTATAGAAAAAATACTTACAAATATGTGATCCTTCTTTTTCGTAACCATCCGTCTTAGTTCTGAGCCCTTGGTCGTGGCCGATGAACGCCGTGGGGGGTGATGATGTCATGTTACACCACACGTAGAAAGCTGGAACGCCGCCTTTACCGTCCACGTCCAGCAAATAGTGGCCGTTCTTGTCGTGACCATTTCTCTTCCACTCGGAGCAGCTAGAATATACTGAAAATACAACATGGGGTGAAACAGTGTTCCAGAATCATTACACGATTGCCATGTTGATTTGCACGATCTGGATGTAAATATTGCATTTTATTATTTTGAATCAAACCGTGTTCATGTAATCTAGCACTCAGCCAACATTTCACTCTATGGGTATGTTTCTGACCGACGTATTGTGAGGACTTTTCTTACCACCACCCAGCATTAAATTAAAATAAACCCTTTAAATTTATTCCCACAGCTGGGCGCATCAGGCTCTCGTCTTGGGGTAACACGATCCTTAAATTGCTACAGAAATTCCCAGGTTTTTTGTCTGAGGGCTCATTTCCATTGAAACTATCCACCTACGTAGATCGATCGAACTCCTCTGGCACTCTCGCTGAATGCAATAAATTCATGAAATGAACACTCTTCTTCTTCTTTCCAACGTACTCATATAATCACCAGCTTTTTCTTAATCTACTCGACGCCAGGAGGGGACGTAAATATCTGTAGAGCTGACTGCATTCAGCGAGATTTCCGGCACACCGATAGTCTCAATGGGAATGGGCTTTTAAACTCTGCATACGGAGAAGGAATGAAACAGCCTCAAGTGGCAACTTGAAAGTTCAACACAGGCCCGCCTCAAGAAAGCAAACCTTCGTTATACAGACTTGACATTTAATATAGAATATTTTCTCCAAATCATAATTAATCCGCCTTTTCCTATTTTGCTGACTGATAAATGAAAATAAGGATTAAAATTGTGTTTTAAAAACTTTTGATGATCTGTTCGATGTCACTGTGACATCAGTTCATTAATTGAATTCGCCAGTGAAGCAAATAAAAATACATTGCCTATTTTAATTCATGCGACAACCATTGAAAGCGATATTTTGGATCTCCATATTTTCCAAATTATCGTCTTTAAAAGAGTTACACGGCCAACAAAGGTCCCTCATGTCAGTGTCTTGTCACAGCAACGGTCGCTGTTACACCTGACCTCATCTGGCTGCTACAAGAGGTTTCTAGCGGCAAGACATTCCTTAGGAAAGGTTTAAAGAGTTTAATCTGGAATAAAATTCCAGGCAACGGTTAAAACTTGTAATCTAGCACTCAGCCAACATTTCACTCTATGGGTATGTTTCTGACCGACGTATTGTGAGGACTTTTCTTACCACCACCCAGCATTAAATTAAAATAAACCCTTTAAATTTATTCCCACAGCTGGGCGCATCAGGCTCTCGTCTTGGGGTAACACGATCCTTAAATTGCTACAGAAATTCCCAGGTTTTTTGTCTGAGGGCTCATTTCCATTGAAACTATCCACCTACGTAGATCGATCGAACTCCTCTGGCACTCTCGCTGAATGCAATAAATTCATGAAATGAACACTCTTCTTCTTCTTTCCAACGTACTCATATAATCACCAGCTTTTTCTTAATCTACTCGACGCCAGGAGGGGACGTAAATATCTGTAGAGCTGACTGCATTCAGCGAGATTTCCGGCACACCGATAGTCTCAATGGGAATGGGCTTTTAAACTCTGCATACGGAGAAGGAATGAAACAGCCTCAAGTGGCAACTTGAAAGTTCAACACAGGCCCGCCTCAAGAAAGCAAACCTTCGTTATACAGACTTGACATTTAATATAGAATATTTTCTCCAAATCATAATTAATCCGCCTTTTCCTATTTTGCTGACTGATAAATGAAAATAAGGATTAAAATTGTGTTTTAAAAACTTTTGATGATCTGTTCGATGTCACTGTGACATCAGTTCATTAATTGAATTCGCCAGTGAAGCAAATAAAAATACATTGCCTATTTTAATTCATGCGACAACCATTGAAAGCGATATTTTGGATCTCCATATTTTCCAAATTATCGTCTTTAAAAGAGTTACACGGCCAACAAAGGTCCCTCATGTCAGTGTCTTGTCACAGCAACGGTCGCTGTTACACCTGACCTCATCTGGCTGCTACAAGAGGTTTCTAGCGGCAAGACATTCCTTAGGAAAGGTTTAAAGAGTTTAATCTGGAATAAAATTCCAGGCAACGGTTAAAACTTGTCTAATTTGGTTCAGTTTTGTTGTAGGACATGCGGGCCGTTGATACGGCGAATAATGACCAACCCATATATTGTCTATGTGGTTCAAATATGGCGATTTTGATGACCAAGGTAGCTGCTCATTCCCTTGGTTCTGTAAATTTTCTGCTATTAAAAGTGCTCTGTGTGAACCGGCAATCTCATCGTACTACCTAAAATTGTTCCTAAGGTGCCCCCTATCAGATGATGGTCAAGCGGTTCCCAGAGTATTCCTTTATTTGATCTGGTTCAGGTTTTTATCGATGACTTCCGTTAGTGTTTTGGCACCACTGTGGTATCCAATACAAATAGTGACGCTGTCAATGACCCTAGTCACTTGAGAAGTGGCACACCCCTTGTTGTAGGCCTCTTCAGGATGTCTGTAAACTCTGTTTTGACCAGGTGAGCGGTACGGGTGAAATCTGACCTCAATAATGAAACCCACGCGGTTTCAGTGTTCTACACAGAAACGGTCATGGTTCCCATTTCATTAGAGAAACAGACTACGCTGTTTTGCTGTTTACAGTGGCTTCCTCAGTAGTCCGGTGGCTTAGGACAAAAAAAAAATGGCCAAATCGTGACACGGCGGATAAAAACACCAAATTTTGCATGTGGGTACCTTTTGACATATATATACTAAATCAAATTAGAGCCGTAGCCCATGGAAAAAATTTTGGTCAAAAAATCCAAAATTTGTGAAATTCTGTAGAATATATACATACCTATGTTGATTTTTATCAAATAAAGTTCTCAATGTTTTCCACATCCTTATTACCCATATTATGCATATATGTCAGATAAAAAACGAGTGTCGTTGGACTTTTTGAAAAATCCAAGATGGCCGCCGTATGGCATAGGAATACTAGAACATGTACAAGAGTTTTCAACTAATGCCAACTAGGAAGATGCATTGCCCACTATCTAATTAATTTTGTTTCTGAGGGCCTTATTACACAAATAATGTATTTGTGGTGAGTAACTAACCTTTATTCTCAGGCATTTCTAGAAAAATCCAAGATGGCCGCCATATCAAATGATTACTAGTATACACACATGTCTGAACAACAAACAGCTTTATTTCATGTTGGAATCAATGTCTGAACTGCTCCATTAATTGACACCTATGTGCATTTGAATGATATATTCCTATGACAACTGGCAGCTATCTTGGGTTTTCTCCGAATAGTACTCAAGGATACGCACATTTTCTACACACACACACACACAGTCTTTCATAAGGATAAATAGGATATGAAAAACATTTAAAAACCATCTAAAGTTAAGTACATTTAAATTGTACTCAGTGTATCTCTGGAATTATTTGATTATGTGTACGAATATTCTAATGACAAAAGGCAGACATCTTGAATTTTTTCAGAATACCCAAAGATACACACATGCTACAGACCAGGTATATATCACAGGAGTAATAATAAATGGAATGAAAAACATAAATTATTTTTAAAACAAACTCATGGTAATGTAATTGTATAATGAGCCATATGCCTCTCTAGCAACAATTTAAACTCACCTATTAGTATTCCTATGTCAAATTGTAGCTATCTTGGATTTTCTCAGAATATCCAAGGATGCACACTATTTACCCACCAGATATATATCATAGGACTAATACGGATGGGCAAAACTTGATAAGCAAACACAATTTCACCCTGGTAGTAGATGAAAGCCATGGATGTGCAGTTGTAATTCCAGTAGTATTCCTATGGCCAATGACGGCCATCTTGGATTTTCTCAAAACGATCAAATATGCACATTTATTACCTGCTAGATATGTATCACAGTGTAATAATAATGTGTAAAACACTGAAAAAAAAATGAATTTGATAGTGAATTATGTATTTCTTAGCTGGCATTAGATCCAACCCTTTGAAATACTAGAAGTATTCCTATGACATATGGCGGCCATCTTGGATTTTCTCAAAATGCCCAAGAATACATGTTAGTTACTCACCACATACATATTGTGTGGGTGGGAAGGATGTGGAAAACACTTAGAAACAAACTTTATTTGGTAGTGGAAAATTAATCTTTCCATTTGTCATTAGTTGAATCCCCTGTATACTAGAATTCCTGTGGCACATGGCAGCCATCTTGGATTTTCCAAAATACCGAAGAACACTTCGTAGTTACTCACCACAAACATATTATGTGGGTAACAAAAATTTGAGAAACAGACTTAATTTGATAGTGGACAACGTATCTTTCTAGCTGGTATTAGTTGTGCACTCGTACCGTGTATTCCTATGGCTGTTTCTATGGCATATGACAGCCATCTTGGATTTTTTCAAAAAGTCCAAGGGAACTTGTTTGCTATCTGACATATATGAATAAAGTGGGTAATAAGGGTGTGGAAAACTCTGAGAAAGTAATTTATTTGATAAAAATCAACAAAGGTATGTACATATTTCTATACAATTCCATAAATTGGCGGCCATTTTGGATTTTTTGACCAAACGGTAAATTGTTTGAGAGGGCTACGGCTCTAATTTGATTTAGAATGTCAAAAGGTAACTACATGCCAAATTTGGTGCTTTTATCCGCCGTGTCACGTTTTTTTCCTTAAGCCACAGGACTACAGAGGTCGCCTAATATCTTAACCTGCTGAAACCATTTCGCTAAGAACCTTGAAAAACGCGTTTTGGGGACAATATGCCCCTCATTGGGTGGTTTTGGTTTAATTGCAGCAGCATATCCTGAAGGACAGTGGGGCCTGTACCCTGGTGGTAAGATGCCGATACATTGGGCGTGGTCTCTGTGTAGGTGCATCAGTCTGGGCATAACTCTATAAATCTGTGCAGACCATTCCGTTTGACACAATAATCTGTCTGGCAATGTCTGTCTTATTCGCGCCATTCTGGCACAGCTTAACAATTTTATAAAACACTGCTTCACTCATTTTACGCACTGCAAAACAGACCGCTTGCATGCAAAATTTCAAATCCTTCGATACAGTAGTTGCCGACATATGGATACTTTTTTGACAGAACCATGCTTAATCAAAGCCAAACTTTGACTAGCCCAAAGGAGCACTACCCAATTAAATCACTGCATATTACACAATGCAGCAGTGAAACTGACTTGGTGGTCAGTTAATTAGTAGCGACACACCTGACTTCATACTTTTCCAGTCAGAAATCTTATGTGAGATCTGAGTTTTTTTGAAAAAAGAAAGCATTTTCCCTAGGTATACCTTTAAAACCGAAATATTCCATATTAAATGTCAAGTCTGTATATGGATCTGATGGTAACTAGTCTTGAAACAAATTAGAACTTTGAAGGCTGTGAAATATTATCTGAAGGAACTTATACATGCCGAATTCCAATGTGTGAACATCATCATTTTTGCACTGGGACAAATATCACCCGACCCAACTTCCAACGATTGAATAAATAATATCTATAGATATTATTTATTCAATCGTTGAAAGTTGGGTCGGGTGATATTTGATAGATTCTAAAATATTATTATATATATTAAAGCCTCACTATCAGTACTATCTGTACAGTATAAAGAAAGGTTTGGTTTTTTAACTCCTTACTATTTAATGACAAGGATAATTATCTAATTTACAGACAACTCAGTTAATTTATAGTATCACATGCAACAATATAAGGTCCTACATGTACCTTTAGAAGAGGTATCAACTTTCGACAACAGCTGCGCTCTTTCGTTTTCAATTCTATTTAACCATAGAAGAACATTCCCTTGCTCTTTCCCCAGAGTCTGAAGTCTCGCTAGCATGGACGCCAATTCAGCTCTTGTGGCATTATTTGCAGAAACAACGGTTTGTACAAGAGGCTGTAACTCCTGACGGGTCACTGCATCTAAACTGTTCAATGCCAACTGCAACTGTTGTATTACCATGGTGACGTTGTCGTATTTCATACTAACCGCCTGGAGAGATACCACAGAACACGGTTTTAACAAGGAATTTAAATGGGAAGACTAGGCTATTTTTATCGCCAAACTAACTAACAGCATGCATGTTGGACTGGGTATCGATGAGAAAGATTCCTTTTTTCTGTGTAATCCTTTATAAAAATTAACAGACAGTGTACAAACATACAGTTCATAGGTATAAATTGAAGTTCGGAAATATGTTTTCACGTGGTATTTTTATATCTAGATCACAGAGTTCCTTAGATAAAATATGTAGTATATTCCTAAAAAAATGTGCATTTATATCATCTTTGCTACTCTTTACCACCTTTTATAGATCTGCAACAACAACAATTGGTTGAGTGCCTTTTGTTCGCAATAGAACAGAAAGAAAAAGAAATCACCTATGTGATTAAAATGGAAATTTGAGACTGTAGAATACAGAAATACACGTAATAGTACAATATTTATTTTTTGATAATTCTCTATATCTATTAACAAACATACATCCAAACACTGAAACTAATTCGGAAAATACGCTTTCTGACGGCATTCCCAAAAACCTTAATATAAAAGATTATAAGAATTAAAGATTCAAATGAAAGTTATTTTTAGAAATTATACGTGTCCAACTTTTTGTTGACCGAGTACCGTTTTTGCACACTCGATAGCAATACAAAATAAAAAAACAATAACCTGTGTGAGCAGACTCTGTTCAAGAAGCTTATTTTGAAGTTCCGCCAGCTTCACTAGAGCTGTGTCTCCATCTTTGCCCGTGGTGTCACACGTTCCGCGGTGGCCGAGGTTGACGTTGTAAACGCATTGACCGTCTTCAAAAGAGCATCCTGCTACGGGTTTTACTTGTAGAGAATCTGCGCCTGCCTTAGGGGCAACGGTTTCAGAACCAACCGTCAAGAAGCAGTACAAGATTAGCAAAATTAAGGGAACTTTAAGTCGGAACATCGTTACTGCTTGGTAAGTGATCGCGTATGAAGCTCGACCTCCAGTGATGTGGACTGAAAAGTGTCGGTTGGTTTCCCACGACAGGTTATTGATAACCTTGGATTTAAGATCACCCAAGGTCAAGCAATATCAGATAAAAGTGTTTAATATTTTAACCATATCACTATGACACGTTTCCATAATAAGACGTTTGAATCGGGAGTTATTCTTAGCTGCAAAATATCACTCAGGATGCAGATGCACGATAAACTAGAAAAGCACTCAGAGAGCGCCGACTTCCGCCAAGGCAACGAAGTATTCATCCAATGGCGTTTCACCCCTAAATTTTCAATATTTTTTATTATTGATTATTGATTGATTATTGACCCGGATTACCACCAAAAACTAATCATCTGTTCCGTAATCCACTTCTGACAGTTCCTGAAAATTTCATCAAAATCGGTCCATAACTTAGTTTTTTGGTGACGTTGTCGTATTTCATACTAACCGCCGGGAGAGATACCACAGAACACGGTTTTAACAAGGAATTTAAATGGGAAGACTAGGCTATTTTTATCGCCAAACTAACTAACAGCATGCATGTCGGACTGGGTATCGATGAGAAAGATTCCTTTTTCTGTGTAATCCTTTATAAAAATTAACAGACAGTGTACAAACATACAGTTCATAGGTATAAACTGAAGTTCGGAATTATGTTTTCACGTGGTATTTTTATATCTAGATCACAGAGTTCCTTAGATAAAATATGTAGTATATTCCTAAAAAAACGTGCATTTATATCATCTTTGCCACTCTTTACCACCTGTTATAGATCTGCAACAACAACAATTGGTTGAGTGCCTTTTGTTCGCAATAGAACAGAAAGAAAAAGAAATCACCTATGTGATTAAAATGGAAATTTGAGACTGTAGAATACAGAAATACACGTAATAGTACAATATTTATTTTTTGATAATTCTCTATATCTATTAACAAGCATACAACCAAACACTGAAACTAATTCGGAAAATACGCTTTCTGACGGTATTCACAAAAACCTTAATATAAAAGATTATAAGAATTAAAGATTCAAATGAAAGTTATTTTTAGAAATTATACGTGTCCAACTTTTTGTTGGCCGAGTACCGTTTTTGCACACTCGATAGCAATACAAAATAATAATTAAAAAAAATAACCTGTGAGAGCAGACTCTGTTCAAGAAGCTTATTTTGAAGTTCCGCCAACTTCACTAGAGCTGTGTCTCCATCTTTGCCCGTGGTGTCACACGTTCCGCGGTGGCCGAGGTTGACGTTGTAAACGCATTGACCGTCTTCAAAAGAGCATCCTGCTACGGGTTTTACTTGTAAGGAATCTGCGCCTGCCTTAGGGGCAACGGTTTCAGAACCAACCGTCAAGAAGCAGTACAAGATTAGCAAAATTAAGGGAACTTTAAGTCGGAACATCGTTACTGCTTGGTAAGTGATCGCGTATGAAGCTCGATCTCCTGTGATGTGGACTGAAAAGTGTCGGTGGGTTTCCCAAGACAGGTTATTGATAACCTTGGATTTAAGATCACCCAAGGTCAAGCAATATCAGATAAAAGTGTTTAATATTTTAACCATATCACCATGACACGTTTCCATAATAAAACGTTTGAATCGGGAGTTATTCTTAGCTGCAAAATATCACTCAGGATGCAGATGCACGATAAACTAGAAAAGCACTCAGAGAGCGCAGACCTCCGCCAAGGCAGCGAAGTATTCACCCAATGGCGTTTCACCCCTAAATTTTCGATATTTTTTATTATTGATTATTGATTGATTATTGATCTGGATCACCACCAAAACTTCTGACAGTTCCTGAAAATTTCATCAAAATCGGTCCATAACATTTTGAGTTATGTTGGTGACAGACAGACAGAAAGACAGACAAACAAACAAACAGGGGTGAAAGCATTTCCTATTTGTGAAAGCATAAACTCACTCAGGATGAAGATACATGATAGTTAATGCCTAACACTTGCACTTCCTGTGCAGATTCTATTTTAACCCAAGACTTGAAACTCTCACAGTTACTAGCTATTCAACTAGAGGACAACCTTGTGTCGCAAAATATAGGAAATAAGTTTTTAAATCTACAACTGGACTCACAATGTTGTCTTGTAGACGACGTTCTGTAGGGGTCCATGTTCCACCCTACCCAGGTTCTTCTAATATTTCGCTTGTCACTGATGCATGGGAGAGGGAATATAACCACGAACTCACATCTTCAGTTCCAACTCTCAAGTCTCTTTATTAAGTCCAAGCATTCAGATTTTATACATTCTCTACAGGGAATCTATTTGCATATGCCACAGTGGCAGCAACTGATTTAAATACTTATTGTAATGCAGTAGTTAACAATTGAGGGTTTCTACTTATCAGATATGCATTTGTCCCAGGCATACTTATACAAAGAATAATAAATATTCATGCAAGACTGAAGCAAAGTGACTGATAATGATGACTGATTATATATACATAATATGTAAATGAGTGAGTTTATCACTTGTCTTCAGAGGACTTTAACAGTTCTGTCTCCTTCTCGAAGATAACCATCAGTCTTTTAAGAATTCAGGTGAACTATTCTTCCTAGTCTTTCTAACCAATCTTCGTCCATTTTCTGGATGGTAATGTTCTCCAAAGAGAAATAATGGTCTCAAATTTGTATACTTAGCATTAGATTTAAAAACGTAAAAATTTGAAGAGCAATATACACAGTTTTGAAAATCAATAAATGTCGTGACAAAAAAAAAATGAAAAGAAAGTCCGATCATATATATATATATATATATATATATATATATATATATATATACAGTCTGTATCATAAGCTGCGACGCTGCCGTGATATGCAAGAACACCTAGAGCGTCGGCAGCAGATCTTCAAAGCATGTATCGCGAAAGAGTGGCAGTATAATATACCTGATATTATACTATATTACCTGACATACATACCGAGAAAGTATGTGCATTTCATCGAAAAAACACCCCTGAACCTAAACTATGCATATATCACAACGATAACAAAACATCTTCACGTATGTATTTGATGGGAGCTTACTGTTACTGATTGTGCCAGTTGTGCGAGTTGCCAAACCGCAATTGGCGGAAGTAAGTATAATTATGCATCATAAACTATAGGTAGACCGATAGAATTGCGCGTTGTGGTAAAAATCAAGCCACTCTCATGACGACTTAAAACCAGAAATGGTGAATGAAGTTGAATAACAGATAAGAAATGAAGGTTAAAATTGAATGTAGTTATAAAATATCTTTTATCATTTGATTTTGTTTAACAGTGGGTTCTTGAACACCAATTTTAAAAAGGCTATTTGTAATTCTGCGACTACAGTTTATTCTTACATAAATGCTGCGATTAATCCGTCTCTTCATAATCACCGATTTAACATCCGGTACACCCTTGGCCAAAGTCTGTCTAATGATGTGGTATGTAGGCCTACCATGGACAAATCGTACATATTTTGGACTAAGCATAAACAATTGAATTAGTTAATAGTTACTTCAGTCATGCTTATGACTAATGAGGTACTTTGCAACTATCCAGCAAACTACAGCCAATGTTACTAATGCGAATGTTTTGTATATTATTAAAGGTGCGATGTGATCGAGTGGGAAATAAACAGTGTACGTCAACACACAGGTCTTCGTTACACTGGGATACTCCACAACTTCCTAGATCAGACACTACACTTTTCTCGTGCAATCATTTGCATCAATAGACGAAATTGCATTACTTGTAACTGAATCAGTAAAATGTCATATCCGTAAATAACACTGCACGTAGAAGGTTCACAATTTCAAATGATTTAAAATTTTCAATCAATAAGTCGATCAGTACTGTATCATTAATGGTGTCGCCTTGCGATTGATGAAATACATTTCAAACTAATTAACGTTCATTACTTATATTAGTTTTCACATTCGACCGGCCCCAAGGTGAAGTAGGCTTGTTCACCGGCGTTTCCCGTATCACCAAATCTCAGCTCTGTCACCGGAAGTTTACTGACGTCAGTTATGTAGCCCTCGTCTTGACGCCAAGTTAGGTCGTTCATGTCGCAGTTGCACTCGTGTCCTTAGAAAAATAAAATTGTAACCTGAACAAGTTTCCAGAACATTTGAGATCATTTGTATAGTAAAAACACGCATAAATAAAACGGTTAGAATATTGAATAATATGTATTAAAATGAAATGTAGCTTAGTGCCGTATATGTGACGTCACAATGAAGAAAAAGTGCAGATTAGTAGAAGGGTCCTTCCGATGGCTTTAGTAAAGTCTAATTATATAGCAAAACTCACCACCAGCGCATGTATTGGTTCTTTTACAAGCGCATCCTCCCAGTTTTGGATCCCCTCCAGGCAAGTACGTCATGTTTTCACCGTCACGTGACACCCACCACGTAGATTGGCCACCACTACCGCCGGTATTAATGAGAGCGCCGTGACATTCGTACTTAAAATATTGTTTACAGTTAGATGAATTGCTCATCAGGGCTGTAAGCTGCCTCATGGTGACGTCATACAACACTTTACCTGTATGATAAGACGAATTGATTTGACGTATTGAATCAGTTATGTACTGCCAAATTGAATTTGGTGTCCTTATCAAACTTTCTATTTAGTTGTTTTATATATATCACGGTAGTTTGGTGAAAAAGATGCCACGCGATAATCTTTGTTTTACAAAGACTAGTCCAATGAAAAGAAGACTTCAACGAGTACTTTTGAAATTAAGGTTGATGAAAAGTTTTTCTGTAGAAAAAATCTTACAAATATGTGATCCAACTTTTTCGTAACCAACCGTCTTAGTTCGGAGACCTCGATCGTGGCCGATGGAAGCCGTAGGGGGTGATGACGTCATGTTACACCACACGTAGAAAGCTTGAACGCCGCCTTTACCGTCCACGTCCAGTAAATAGTGGCCGTCTTGGTGGTGACCATTTCTCTTCCACTCGGAGCAGCTAGAATATACTGAAAATGCAACATCGGATAAAACGTTGCTGAAAACCATTACTCGATTGCCATGCTGATTTGCATAATCTGGATGTCTTCCCGCCGTAAATATTACATTTTATTCATTTAGAATCAAACCGTGTTTATATGTAGCGCTAAGAGGTGATTTTTCATTTATCATTTATGAAAATGTAATCTAGCACTCCGCCAACATTTCACTCTACGGGTATGTTTCTGACCGACGTATTGTGAGGATCCTTTCTTACTACCACCCGGCATTAATTTAAAATAAACCCTTAAAGTTATCCCCACAGCTGGGAGCGTCAGGCTCTCGTCTTGGGGTAACACGATCCTTAAAATTGCTGCAGAAATTCCCAGGTGTTTTGTCTGAGGGCTCATTTCCATTGAAACTATCCACCTATGTAGATCGATTGAACTCTGTTGGGACTCTCGCCGAATGCAATCAGTTTATGAAATGAGCAGGGCTCTTCTTTCCAACCAGCTTTTCCTTATTCTACTCGACGCCAGGAGAGGGCGTATATATCTGTAAAGCTGATTTCACTTAGCGAGGTTTCCCGCGGAGTGGGATCCATTTACGCAGACTGAAATATTCTGAATGGGAATTAAACTTTGCACACGGAGAAGAATGAAACGGCCCCAAGCTGCAGCCTGTACGTTCAACACAGGTCCGCCTCTAGAAGGCAAAGCTGCGTTATACATGTATATGGATCTGATTGGTAACTAGTCTTGAAACAAATTAAAACTTCTAAGTCAGTGAAATATTATCTGAAAGTACTTAATACATGCCGAATTACAATGTGTGAATATCATTTGTGCATTGTGACAAGGACCACCCTATCTCAACTTCCAATGATTGAATTAATAATATATAAATTCTAAAACATTATAGTAAATTTATTTTCCATACAGCGAACCCTCACTGTATGTACAGCATAAAGAGAGGTTTATTTTGATTTCCTTAACTATTTACGGACAAGGAAAATTATGGAACTTACAGAAAAATCACCCAGTTTATCGTATCACATGCAAGAATACAAGGCCGTATACCTTTAGAAGAGGCATCAACTTTCAACAATAACTGCGCTCTTTCGTTTTCAATTCTGTTTAACCATAGCAGAACATTCCCTTGCTCTTTCTCTAGGGTCTGAAGTCTTGTTAGCACGGGCGCAAGTTCCGCTCTTGTTGCATTGTTAGCGGAAATAACAGTTTGTAGAAGAGGCTGTAACTCATGACGGGTCACTGCATCTAAACTGTTCAATGCCGACCGTATCTTCTGGATTACCATGGTGACGTTGTCGTATTTCATACTAACCGCCTGGAGAGATACCAAAGAGCATGGTTTTAACGAGTGATTAAAATGGAAAGTCGAGGCTCTTCTTATCGCCGAACTAACAGCACAAGAATCCTTTTTTCTATGTGTCCTTTATAATATTAAATACAGTATACAACTGTCTGTAAGCATACCTAGAAAATCGGAAACATGTTTTCTCGTAGTATTCTTAAATCTAAATCACAGAGATTCTTGGATAAATTTATACTTAAGATATTCTTAAAAATAACGTTTTAATATTATCTTTGCCAGTCTTCACCACCTTTTTTCTGCAACAACATTGGAAAAGAAAAATAAATCACCTGTATGATTTGAATGGGGAACCCAGAATTACACGTAACAGTAGGGCCTATAGTATTTAATTTTTATATTTCTCTATATCTGTTAACAAACATACAAACAAACACGTTGTAAGCAGACTTAAACTAATTAGGAAAATACGCTTTCTGATTGTATTAAAAAATGTAGATGTCAAAGATTCTAAGATTCACATGTAAGATTTTTAAAAGAAATTGCAAGTGTCCAACTTATTTTGCCACGGAGGCCGAGTACCGTTTTTGCACACTCGATAAAAATACAAAAGAAAGATAAAAGAAATTACCTGTGTAAGCAGACTCTGTTCAAGAAGCATATTTTGAAGTTTCACCAACTTCATTAGGACTGTGTCTCCATCTTTGCCAGTGGTGTCACAGGTTCCGTGGTGGCCGAGGTTGACGTGGTAAACGCATTGACTGTCTTCAAAAGAGCATCCCGCTATGGGCTTTCCTTGGAGAGAATCTACATCTGCCTTAGCGGCAACGGTTACATAACCAACCGCTAAGAAGCAGTGCAAAATTAGCAAACTAACGGTAGGTTTATGCCGGAACATAGTTATTGCTTGAAACTCGATCCACAATGCTGTGGACTGAAAAATGTCGTTGGTTTCCCACGACCGGTTATCGATAACCTTGGATTAAAGATCACCCAAGGTTAAGCAATATCAGATAAAAGTGTTTAATAGTTTTACCAAATCACCTTAATAAGACGATTTTATCGGGAGTTTTTCTTAGCTGCAAAATTTCACTCAAGATAAAGATGTATAAAGATAAATAAAACCAAACACTTGCATTCCCCCTGTCGCTTCTTTGTTTACCCAAGACTTGGAAATCTCAGAGTTAAAGTTATTCAACTAGAGGGCAACCCTGTGTCGCAAAATATAGAAAATAATGACGCATATATCACCACGATCACAAAACATCTTTAAGTATGTACACTGTATTTGATTGGAGCTTACTGTAACTGATTGTGCCAGTTGTGCAAGTTGTTGGCGGAAGTAAGTATAATTTCGAAATGTGTTAATTTACGCACGTTGAATCATACTGAGTGTTTTAATTTACTTTGGACATATGCATCAGGAACTATAGATGAGGTGGAATGGCGCATTGTGGTAAAAATCAAGCCACTCTCATGACGACTTAAAACCAGAAACAGTGAATTAAGTTGAATAACAGATATGAAATGAAGGTTAGAATTGAATCTAGTTCTAAAGTATCTTTTATCATTTGATATTTTTGACAATGGATTCCTTAACACCAATTTAAAAAAGGAATATTTGTAATTCTGCGACTATTGTTTATTCTATTATTCCTTGCATAACTGCTGTGGTCAATTAACCAGTATCTAAATAATCGACGATTTAAGATTGGGAACATCTTCTGACAAAGTCTCTCTAATGATGTGGTGAATACCTTGTTCATATCGTACATGTTGGACCAAGCATAAATAACCGAATTAGTTAACAATAATTTGAGTCGTGCAACTAATGAGGTACTTAGTAACTATCCAAAAAACTACAAGCAATGTTACTAATGCGAAAGCTTTGTATATCATTAAAAGGTGCGATGTGGGTAGGGAATAAACAGTGTACGCCAACACACAGCTTGGGATATTCCACAACTTCCTAGATCAGACTCTAAATTTTTCTCGCTTAGTCCTTTGCATCTATAGCCTTAATTTAATTACTGTATCTATTAAGTATTATCAAAATCTGCTACTGAATCAGTAAAATGCCGTATGTCTAAATTATGTTAAATCAATAACTCATTACTTTATCATTTACGGTGTTGCCTGGCGATTTATAAAATACATTTAACATAATTATTGTTCTTTGGGAATGTCAGTTTTCACATTCAACTGGCCCCAAGGTGAAGTAGGCTTGTTCACTGGCGTCTCCCGTATCGCCAAATCTCAACTCTGTCACCGGAAGTTTAGTGACGTCAGTGATGTAGCCCTCATCTTGGCGCCAAGTATTGTCGTTCATGTTACAGTTGCATTTGAATCCTAAAAATATAAATTAAAGCCTAGACAAGTTTCTAAAAAAGATCAGATAATTTGCATGGTAGAAAATGTATAAGTAAACGGTAAGAATACTGAATAAAATGTATCATAAAAATGTATCTTGGTGTCGTATATCTGACTTCACATTGAAGAAAAAGTATAGATCAGTAGTCTGGTAAAATATTCAGTACACCCAATGGCTAAAGTAAAATTTTACATGCATAATATATCGGAGAAACTCACCACCAGCGCATGTATTGGTTCTTTTACAAGGGCATCCTCCCAGTTTGGGATCCCCTCCAGGCCAATACGTCATCTTTTCGCCGTCACGTGACACCCACCATGAAGATACAATTGAAACTGCATAACATTCGTACTTGAAATGCTGTTTACAGTTAGTCGAGTTGGCCATCAGGGCTGTAAGCTGCCTCATTGTGACGTCATATAAAACACGGACTGTAGGATGGAAAAGCAGTATATTTGACGTATTGAAACAGATAGGCACTACCAAATTGGATTTACTGGTCTCCATATAAACTAATAATAAATGCCAATTTATTACAAATACTGGGGATCACCCATCATACAAAAAGTCTTGAACAAGTTAACTGAAATTCATGGTGATGCAAAAATCCTATCTATAAAAAAAGGAGCATACAGATGTGAGATCCCGGTAGTTCGTGGCCATCCGTCTTAGTTCGTAGACCTTGGTCGTGACCGATAGACGCCGTGGGGGGTGATGACGTCATGTTACACCACACGTAGAAAGCAGGAACGCCGCCTTTACCGTCCACGTCCAGTAAATAGTGGCCGTCCTGGTCGTGACCATTTCTCTTCCACTCGGAGCAGCTAGAATAAACTGATAATGCAACATCGGATAAAACGGAACCATTACCCGAGTACAGTCTTGCTATAAATTTAAAGGGATAATAATTCTTCGTTTCGGCCAAATAATGAATTTTCCTGGAGTAAACAACAATTTTCCCATACTTACCAATGGTTAATGAATCCATTTTTACATTCAGAGTTAGTCCCTGTTTTTTTTCTAAAAAGTTTGGTTTTTTGTTAAAATCTCTCAAGAGATTTTGACAGAGTATAGCCATCAGTGGAGATCACGTTGTCTAAAGACAAGCTCAGATATCAGATCAATAGCTCTAACTGCCGTTTTTGTGGCAAAACAGAATATTTTATAATTCTGAGTTATTCACAATGTTTTTATTGTGAAATATAGATCTCGTACGAAGAGTTATTATCCCTTTAAGAATATGAATCAAAGTAACTTTAAAAAAGAGTTTTAAGAGAGACTGTCATAATTACTTTCAGATTTTGTATAAAATGGCAATGACATTCCACAATTTTGGGGCATAAACAATTAAAGCGTGCAACATGCAACAAGACTGACCCCCACCTTTAGAAGAGGCATCTGCTTTCGACAATAACTGCGCTCTTTCGTTTTCAATTCTCGTTAACCACAGCAGCAAGTTCTCTTGCTCTTTCTCCAAAATATGAAGTCTCGTTACCGCAGATGCCAATTCTGCTCTTGTGGCATTGTTAGCAGAAACGGCAGCTTGTAATAGGGGTAGCAAAACCCGATGTGTGACTCCGTCTAGACTGTTCAAGACTGACTGCAACTTCTGGATTGCCATGGTGACGTTGTCGTATTTCATAGAAACCGCCTGGAGAAATACCATTGAGCATTGCTTTAACGAGGGATTAAAATTGGGGAGGGGGATTGATGCTTTCTTTCACGCCTTTTTAGCAGCATTTTTTTTTTCAAATTAATCTTGATGTATTAGCATGCAAAAAACACACTTACCTTAATCAGGAAAATACTCATTCTGACGTACGTTATTCTAAAATCTAGATCACAAAATTTCTAAGACTTTATATGTAAAAATATCACAAAACTTCACCCTTTTCAGAATACCCAAAGATACACATACACCTTTTCACTACATTCTGCTAAGTGATAACCCTTACAACATTGGTCTGCTGTCCTCTTAAAAACGTGATGGCAAAACCACACCAAATAAAAAGAAACCACCTGTGTGAGCAGACTCTGTTCAAGAAGCTTATTTTGAAGTTCCGCCAACTTCACTAGGGCTGTGTCTCCATCTTTGCCAGTGATGTCACACGTTCCGAGGTGGCCGAGGTTGACTTGGTACACACATTGACCGTCTTTAAAGGAGCATCCTGCTACGGGCTTTCCTTGGAGAGAATCTACATCTGCTTTAGCGGTAACAGACCCAACCGACAAAAAGCAATGCAAGTTTAGCAAACAAAAGATAAATTTTAGCTGGAACATCGTTACTACTTGGTCAGTGAAGGATGAAGGTTTGTGAATAATTTATATAAATATTGTGATTAAGTTCAGTATTATTGGTTGTTTTAAATGGTATCTTAATCCTTTCTTTGTGTGCGTTTCATTCACAATAATTCTTCATTCTGCTATCTGAATTTATTATAGACTTAAACGGTGTGTTTTAAATTGTATCTTGAAGTTCTTTGTGTTTTGTCAGGTACTAACATAATATCCAAACTGATAGTTTGAAAGCAAAGTTGAAAACTATTCATTTTTGTTATCTAAGCGTAATGATATGATTGTGAGCATCTCTATTCATTGAAGAAAACACACAGTTATAAATGTAATTGTTAGCGGGAAATAAGCACTTTTTCCTCTTCCCTCCATATTATTAGCTGCGCACTTTACATTTTTATTCGATCAAACTCTTCAACTGTTACTGGGTTAGCTGATATCCAGAAATACATTCTAAAAATCACGTTATTTTTATTATAAAAACCGTGCCTGTATCTGAAATCTGACGCGTTCATTGTGTAAAATAGAAGCTATCTTTTAAAGAGTGACCCTCTTTGGTGTGGACTGACCAATGTAAGCTGGTTATCGATTAGCGTAGGTTTTTGGTGACCTACGGTAAATTCAGGTTGTGCCAGATTGAAGGATTGCGGAATGCATCAGCGGTGTGCCATTTCATTCGTTTATCTTCGTCTGCCTGTTTATACGGAAGCACTACTGAATGCGTTAGTAGTGAAAAGATTTTAGTGTTTTTATTGCGTTCGTATTGTGTTCGAGTTACGTTGTCTTCATCCTAAACCCTTAATGTCTCACAAACTTTCACAGTTCCATTCACAGCAAGAAAGAAGGCGGCAAACTTAAGTAACGAGTGCCACGCTTGTGGAAGTGACGTACTCCATAGAGAAAAATTGCTACAAAATTTTAAGTCCAGTTATAGATTTAAAAACTTATTTCATTTGAAATACGACTAGAAGACTTACTATTTTATTGCGAAATGCATTGTAAAGATCAATAACTTTACTAAAAAGTGAAAAGGAAATTCAATCGTGCTGATATTATGCCCGCTTTTCTTGTCAAATAAAGCCTGGAATTTGGAATTTAAATCTAAAACGGACCCAAATAAAAATCATCTGCCCACATCCCACTCAATTAAACTGCAGCTAACAAGTTTCATGGTTTCAACAAATCACGCACGACCTAGCACGAAAATCCATGCGCACTCATATTGACGATTCTGATATGTAGGCCTACTGTCTGTTAACACAGACAGTAGGGCCTACATCAGAATCGTCAATGATAGGAGTGCTAACGCATGAATTTTCGTGCTAGCACGACCATGCTACCGTATGGTCTCGCCATCAGATTCAAACATTACATTTAACGCTTATAATGTTCATTAAGAATGTTAATTTTCGCACTGGACCGGTCCCAATGTGAAATAGGCGAGTTCATCGCTGCGTCCTGTATCGCCAAATCTCAGCTCTGACACCGGAAGTTTAGTGACGTCAGTGATGTAACCCTCGTCTTGACGCCAAGTATGGTCGTTCATGTCGCAGTTGCACTTGTTCCCTTAGAAACATAAAATAGTAACCTGTGCAAGTTTTCAAAAACAGAGGGAATAATTTTATGGCAGTTTACAAATATTTGAATCAAAACACAGTGCGGGTTCTAACGTAGCTCAATGTCAGATACAATGTAGCCTATGTGACGACCCACTAAGCACAATTTAAGTGCAGATTATTGGATTCGTGAAGTATTCAGTACTTCCAATGGTTAATGTAAAATTTTAAATACATAACATACCGGGGTAACTCACCGAACTCACCGCCAGCGCATGTATTTGTTCTTTCACAAGCGCATCCTCCCAGTTTGGGATCCCCTCCAGGCCAGTAAGTCATGCTTTCGCCGTCACGTGACACCCACCATGAATTGGAGGGAACACGAAAGCCGTTTGCGCCAATAGAAGCTGAATAACATTCGTACTTCAAATGCTGTTTACAGTTAGTCGAGTTGGCCATCAGGGCTGTAAGCTGCCTGATGGTGACGTCATACAAAACACGAACTGTGAGATGGAAAAATAAAAGATACCGGTATATGTCCTATTGAAGCAGTTAGGCAACGCCAATTTGAATTTGGACGCTTTATAAAATCTCTCTTGTTATGTTTTACTGTTAATGGCCGAACAATCTCCCTAACCCCAATCAAAGGTTTTTATATTTATGAAACTTAGGTGGAATGTGAACAGGAAGGTGAATTTGACTATGGGCATTTGAGAAAAGTATAGCAAACAATCAAAAGTCGTTTTAATGAAATATTTAGCTTATATATTCGATCGTGCTTACTGGTGTTTTAATAATTGTAATAAATTGTGTTTGATTTGCTCATCAGATAAAAAAGGAACTTAAACGAGTCATTCAGAAATTCAAGGTGAGAAAAACATACAAACGTGTGATCCTGCTGATTCATGACCATCCGTCTTAGTTCGGAGACCTTGGTCGTGGCCGATGGACGCCGTAGGTGGTGATGACGTCATGGTGCACCACACGTAAAAAGCTGGAACGCCGCCTTTACCGTCCACGTCCAGTAAATAGTGGCCGTCCTTGTCGTGACCATTTCTCTTCCACTCGGAGCAGCTAGAATAAACTGATAATGCAACATGGAATGAAACAATGTTCGAGAACCATGACCCAATTCCGTGCTGTTTAGCATGATTTCAGTGCTTTCTGGTCGTCAAAATTATATTTTAATTTTTAAGAATCAAATCACATTGATGTGTAAAGCGAAGAGTTGATTTTTATTTCTTGCAATGAAATGTAATCTAGAACTCCACAATCGTTTCACTTCATGGATATGTTTTGACCGACGCAGGATCTTTGGTATTTGAGCTAATCATTTATTAACGAGGGCAATCATCAAAATTACAGATAACTCTCCTAGTGTGTATCACATACAATAAAATAGGGCCCTACCCTGAGAAGAAGCATCTACTTTCGACAAGACCTGCGCTCTTTCGTTTTCAATTCTAGTTAACCAAAGCAGCAAATTCCCTTGCTCTTTCTCTAGGGTTTGAAGTCTTGTTAGCACGGACGCAAGTTCCGCTCTTGTGGCATTGTTTGCAGAAACAGCGGTTTGTAGAAGGGGTAGCAAAACCCGATGTGTGACTCCGTCTAGACTGTTCAAGACCGACTGCAACTTCTGGGTTACCATGGTGACGTTGTCGTATTTCATAGAAATCGCCTGGAGAGAAACCATAGGGCACTGTTTAAATAAGGGATTAAAGTCGGGGGGGGGGGGGTGCTTTACTTAACGCCTTTTTATCAGTAAATTTTAAAATAAATCTTTATATATTTACTTGCAAACAAACACACTTAACTTAATTGGGGAAATTCGCTTTCTGGTATTATTCTAAAATCTAGAGCACTAAGTAGTTTAAAACTTGACATTAATATATTCTAAAATTTTTACTATCTTCAGCTACCTTTATCCCTTACAAAATTGGTCGAGTTCCCAACGTGATGGCAAAACATCACAACGAAAGAAAAATCACCTGTGTGAGCAGACTCTGTTCAAGAAGCTTATTTTGAAGTTCCGCCAACTTCACCAGAGCTGTGTCTCCATCTTTGCCAGTGGTGTCACACGTTCCACGGTGGTCGAGATTGACTTGGTACACACATTGACCGTCTTTAAAGGAGCATCCTGCTACGGGCTTTCCTTGGAGAGAGCCTACATCTGTCTTAGGGGCAACAGTTTCAGAACCAACCGTCAAAAAGAAGTGCAAGCTTGTAAAACTTACAGTAAGTATTAGTCGGAACATCGTAACTGCTTGGTCAGTGAAGAGTGGTCCTTCTGTTAGTGTGGACTGACAAACGTCCGACTGGTGATCGATAAGCGTAGATAATTAAAGACCTATGGACAATCTTTGTAAATATCAGGTTTAAGTAACTTATGATAGAGGATCAGCGCATGCTTATGTCACCCTCGCCCCCTGTCGATCTCGTTTAAGAAAACGCCTAAAAATGTGTCCATATAAAGAATCGGTGACATTATAATAAATCCAATTATTATGATTGTTTTTAGACTGAATCCGCTTTTTATCGAATAAAGTTTACTAGTAAATGTAAAGAAATTAAAATATGTATCAGATGGTAGTATATAGAGACACGTGTCAAATTACTCATTAGAACTAAAGTAGAGTTTTCACCTCGATTTTCTTTTTTTTTTCCTACAGGGTTTTGTATCTCTCCGTTTTCAATATTGTTCTTACGCTGCAGCAGTGTGTATATACATCACGCGTTCTGCGATGACGACATCTTGTGAGTGGAATGGTAGTTCCTGGAATGGAAGTCCGGTGTCCTTAGATGAGTACAGGTTAGGGCTGATTTTCGTATATGGTGCGAAAATCACCTGTGCAGAATAAAGGGAAACGGACAACAGTTCCTAACGGACTACCATCCCTATCACGCCGGCTTAGTGGAGAAACCCCGTGATTGGGCAAGGTTTCTGATCAGCAGATGTAGCACTGAATCCGAGGCTAAGGAAGCCTGGTAAAAAATGTGCAGCATTGAATCCGAGGCTACAAGCAAATTTGTAAGAGTACTTAGTGTTAAACAGTCGCCATAAATTAACGTTTGACTACGCCAAACTTCACTATTCATTGTATCACACAAAGGGACATCAGAAAACACAAATTATTTTAATCATTTATTATGTACTTAATATATACTTTAAAAGTGGTGGTTCAATACGGCCTATATTACAGCCTGCTAGGGATAATCAATTGGCACAGTGACACGCCCCCATGCTTCTTTTCCAATATTTTGAATATAACACTCCAAACTCTATATCGTTCTTTGACAAACCAGGTAATGCCTTCGGGGATTGCTAGAATATTGATCGTATTTTCTTTTTGTTTGCTACATCTCTTCAATTACCAAGTGTACAAGGAAAAAATATTTATTTTATATTTTAATCACTGATTAAATTATTTTAACTCCACTCTGACTAACAAGACATGTTACACCTTCTAAAATGAAATCTACTTTCTCAAATTCCTAAATATCAAATGCTATAAAATGTCATTGGATTTTTACTTATGTACAGAATTTTATACATATCAAATGAAAAAATCTCTTTATGGAAACAAATGAGGCTGGATCTCTTTATCTTTCCCTTCTTGTAAAAAAGCATTGATGAGAGTAGTGTTCGTCCTAAATAATATACACTGAGCTTTCTGGTAACTGTCCACTTTGTCGTTACAGGAGCAAACTGGCTCAAATGTACCCCACTTCTTTAACTTTACCAAAAATGGTACCTAAGCTTTTGTTTGTAATTATAATAAAGTGGGCTGTTATAATGATAATTGTGCTTTTGGGCTCATTCAAAAACATTTCTGCTTTAAAGACATATCAAGAGAAAAAAAAATTGGAGAATTTAACAAACATTTTATACTTTTCAGCCAAACTATATGAACATTTTTATCAGCAACTGCAGAAAATCTTTCACTTTGTCTTAACCCAGTTTTGAACATAAAAGAATAATGCTCCATTTCTCTCCTGATGAAAACTGTCAAAGATGCTTACATTTTGAATGAACGAATGACATTTAAACACTTCTCACTTTCATTAAAAATAACTTTTCGATTTCTTTCTGATAATATTTAATTGTCCATGACTGTTATCGCCTAACACACAATGCCAGTTCTCCTGATGTTTATGCAGCCTGAGGTTCTGCCTCTGTGACCTGACCTTGACCTTTGTTGACATCACTTATACATGCCCACTGGCCCTCTAGGGACTCTTTCCACAGGCTCACCTGAAATATACATATATACTCAGTACAAGGATGATCTAATAATCAGATAAGTAATGAATACACCACAAGTTTGTGAAGAGCACTACTATGTACATGCCTAATAAGTGCACACTGTGCCCAATATTTTTCTGGAAATTGATGGCTGATATTACAGCCATGCATAGTCCACATGTCAAATTTAAATCATTGCTGTGTTCCAAAATATTGAAATATCCTTAAAAGTGTATGTTATATTCAGAATACATGATATATTTAAAAAAAGTTATCCAAATATTTGATATACAGAAGCAAAAATTTATGCATACTATAAAAAAAGGGTAACACCTTGTTGTGCACTATCACCTGTCTTTTCTTATCAAAATCTTTCTCCACCTCTTTTAACTACCTTATCAATTATCCCATACCTATTTCCCCTTTCACCTAGCTTATATATATATATGATTGCATGTCTTTTTTTCCCTTTAACCAACCTTATTATCTCCTCCAGACACAGCCAGTATGTTCCCTGTAATAGACCAGCTCACGTGCCAAATAACGTCGTTAAATTTGTGCAACGTTTTTGATGACCAGGCGCTGCTTGTTCCATCATTTGTCCATATTATCACACGACAGTCCTGGAATAATCATATTTTTGTAAATGAAAAACCATTTCACTTACAGCTTATTCAATGATACTTATATGAGCATACACATTATTGGTCTAAACTAAGTAAATAATTTTAAATATTGGGAGAAAATTTAATACACAAGGTCTAGAAATACAAAACCCATACTGGGAAAACGGAGGCTACCTGAGAACAACTGGCAATAACGCTTTTCGGCAGGCCTATAGATGGCGCCCATGCCACATCTCGCACCCAGTCGCTGTGGCCCTCCAGTTTCTGTTCCTCCACCCACTGGTCATCTTCCTCTCTGAAACAAATATTAACAGAAGTCAGTTCCCTGGCTTAGTTGACTACGATTTCCAAGAGAGTGCTATAACACTGCTCCTGATAGGGTGGTATTTAAGTTCTTAGTCAGAGAACCTGACTTATTTATTTTATTATTTATTTATTTTTTTTTTTTTTTGTGTGAAACTGGGGCCAGGGATGAGACTGCCATTAGGTGAAAAAGTCAGAAAATATGGTCTGGGGTCATAGGAAAAATTAGAAAAAAATAGCGTGGGGCCCAGGGGGCTGCCTAGGCCAATGATCTTTTTGGCCCCCAAAAAGTCAGAAATCCATCAGTAGTCAAAAAACTTTCATCCCTGCATCACAGACCAGGGTGAAAAAGTCTCTCTCCATCTGCCCCTATTTTAAATGCCTTTTATAAATAAATACAAGCTTTTCATTTTCTCATCATGTCAGAAGATTTGTAATGTGTGGTGCAGCAAGAAACTAGCACAGGGTAAATGACTAGTCTAAATCAGACTAAAACCTTTTCAATCCATACAATAAACTCATCAGAGCAAACCTATAGAATATTTAGCTAAAATAAATAGTTTCAGAGGCCATTCAAATTTAATAAGTGTGGCAAATTTCAAAGTTTCGCTACAAATTCATCTTTGACAAGCAAGCCTTCCCTTAGATTAGATGTAGACTAGGTCCAAACTTTGAATCTGTAATTTGCTCATTGATTTACAGGGAGTCCAACCCAAGCAAGCCCAACCATCCAACCCAAAACTTTTGTAAGCCTACCATCCATCTTTGGAAATATAGGCTGCCTTTTAAAGCTAATGACCGTCCAAATGACGACTGGACATCTCTTTGCGAAAAGCCTTGTAGACAAGTAAAAAACCAGTGCTCCTAAAAGCCACACTTACAAACGGATAGGCAACGACTTGACTTACTTCCATATTTTGACCAGATTATCGCAGCCTCCAGACACAAATCTCTTCACTAGCTGTGGTTTCTGTCCTCCAGACTGCTCTATCAGTGAACCTGGGACAACTGCTGGGGCCCAGGAGACAGCATTACAGCCTATCTGAAATACACAGAATGTTTCTCTTAGGAATGAAATCCACTGCAAAAATATGTCTCATTTAATGCTCACAAAGGGTTCTCAATCTGACCTAGAATATAATGTATTTCTCTTTAAATGAAAAATTTTATTAATCTGTTCTAGGACATTCTGAAGGACTTCCTAAAAACAGTTCTTGAACTATTGAATTCATTAAAAATAACATTAGAACTGTAAAACAAAATACAACAAATGTTCTAGAATAGACTGAGAACTGTAAGTGAACGTTTTAACTTTTAAAAATGAGACACATTTTTGCAGGGGAAAAACCACCTGTGTGTTCATTTACAGAAATAACTTGATCTTTTCAATGGAGAAAATATTCAAATCAATTCAAACAAAATATTAACATGGACATGGATAGAACCATGTGCACAGAGGAAAAAACTGAAAATTTAATCAAATAAACACTCGGACTAACTCAAAAAGAGACCTCTTGTTTATCAAAAATTGAGATTAAGCACGAATGAGGTAAATTTTATTGTTAAGACAAATAAAATGAGTCAATTTGAACTTACTTTGATTGTAATTTTCCAGGTAAATAATTTCTCTTTACTAGTCATAAATAATTCAAAATATTAAGAAACATTTTATATCTGATATATCTAATAAAACTTGAGATTGTTTTATTTGAAATCTTTTATTTCTATAACTTACTGTGTGTGCATTTGTAATCTTCTTGCTGTCCCAGACACCATCACCTATAAATAATCAAAAAGACCTCCTTATCTCCTCTTATTGTAAAATATTCTCTAAAGTTAAAATGTAGACACAACTTGGTGTAAAAACTTGCCAACGAGCATCACTCTGCAGATCAAATGACCAGATACATGCCAAAACATCTTTTGGAAACGGTTTACTTATCCATATGCAACCAAGATGGAGGTGAATTATTTATCATTTTACACCTGGTGTTATTACTCTGTCTCAAAGTTATGAAACTCTCTACTTCATCAAATTCCAAAAAAAGGTCTAAAACTCATTGGTGAGGTAATATCACCTACCTGTACTAGAAATAACTGATATACAGCCATCAGAGCTGCCACATGCAAACAACAAGCCAAACTCATGGGGTGCCCAGCATACTGAGTTCACTGGAATGAATATCAATAAATACAAGATAAATTAACAATTATAATCACTGCATTTTAATCATTTATGGTGAATTAAGTCAAGCAACCTTGATTTTACCAGTATAAGTATTCTCATTTTTTTTTACTTAGGGTAAAACTAGTACTGGACCTCAAAAGGTACAAATATTTATTCAAATTTCTACTTCCAAGTCGCTGTGCCTTCTTGAGTTAGACAATGGGTGAATATTTTCATACAAGTTTCAACTCCTTCAACACACACACACACTCTCTCTGTCTCAAAAGGTGCACTGTACTTACAAAAACTTTGAAGATAATTGTCATAAAGTGTCAAAATAAAGAGAGAAAAGTGTTATCCACCAATCACCACCCTGACAGCACAAGCTTCCACTTTACCTGAGGAGTCATGGTTTGTGTACTCATACAGCTTGCCCCACGTCCCATTAGTCTCCTTCCATATAATAACTTTCCTATCGTAGCCACAGGAGGCCAGCAAGTTCCCAAACATAGGGTGTGCCCAGGCTATCTGCCATACTGGGCCTTCATGTCTGGAATATAATAACATATTACTTATAGGCCGTATTCCCAACTTAAGTTACTGTACTAGCTGGATTGAACTATCTCAGCGGGGATTCACGTTAAGCCACAGTCAATGTATTCAGCTAAATTGTTTATTTTCCCCAGATTCTCCAGTGGGTGTGTCCAACAGTGATTACATTGACTGTGGCCTAGCGAGAATCCTCCCTGAGATACATCGATTCAGCTAGTACAGTACCATTTATTGAAAACATGGCTTCACAGACTGTGTGTAGTATGCCTCAGCATGGTCTCATGATGGAGCTGGGTATGCCACGACAATTGACATTCAGTGGATGGACCTGTGAAGCCATATTTCAAATACAAATTCCTATGATGAGGAAACTTCGGCATCCTCTTGAACAAGCTAATCTGGTGTATTGACACATGTTCAAATATTATACAGTGGGGTAAGAAATAATGATAAACTAACAACTGTGGAGCAATAATAAACAAAATCTTCAACAACATTTATCAACAGGTATTTTTCTATTTGTTTTCATAGAAGCTCTTTCGAATAACAGTCTACTTCACCACAAAATTTTACCACATTTGAGTGCCTTTTTTGAAAGTGCTTTCAAAGATGACATTCCCAGTGCGCAGTTTAACTATAATGATATAATTATTGTCTTTTAGAAAGTTAAACCCACCTAACACAGATTCTTGCACATTTTCTAGCCTCGTAAGATCTTGGAAGTTTCCCATTAAATTAAATTCCAATTGGTTCTCTTACCCTCTGAGATCTGCTATGAGAGTCTGTTGTCCACTCTTCACATCAAATATCTTCACACTTCTATCTGAGGAACACGTGGCTAACTTTGTTCCATAGTAGTCCATTTGAGCATCATGCTGTAACACACCATGGAAATGTGGATGTTACCATTTTCATATTTTGATCAAGGAAAAACATCCTGCTTCAGGCAGAAGATTGGTAATTAAGGTCATGGATGTGTTTAAAAATCTTCAAAACATATAACAATTGTCCAAGAAGGTATTCACAAAATCATTTTAAAATTGTTCAAAATCAGAAAAAAATCTATATGTAATGATTTTATTATTTTTTTACAGTAGTAATAGATATCTACTTGTTTGGAAATTGAGACATGGGAATATAAAGAAGAGTGATGCAACATATACATCCAGTTACAGCACATTTGAAAATTCTGGAACTATTTGGAAAAATGAATATCCACCAAATTTCTCTGAACTTAAAGTTGTACTACAGATATAAGCATTTAAATTTCAAGAGAAAAATGGACACATTACATTAAATTATTTTAAAAATGTACACTACACGAATAACTTACAATCATATCTTCATGAGCCGTATCCACTGTATTTATGACGGAAACCTGGAAAATTTAGCAGCTTCTTTGAATTTAAGAGGTATCTTCCCCATGTTTTCATCCAGTAAGACACTGTTTTGTGCAAGATAATTAACCTGATTACATTGGCTTAGCAAGGATTTCTGCTGAGATAGATCCACCCTGCTAGCAGGATAACTTCTATTCTGAACACAGCCATACAAATTATATACGTGCATGTTATTAGTAAAAGATACACATTACCATACTGTACGCTCGTCTTCGACAAATATGGCCAGTAAAACGATCTCTTAATACCCAAAATTGGTACTTCAAATGGGGATTCTTGTGTAGTAACTCGCAAACCATCTGTGCCTTTTACACTCTATTTGCAAGGCCGAAAATTTTCGTTTTACCAAACTTTTCTGGCATTAAAATTTTTTATAAGAAAAAGCTGGCAGTGTTTGATATGACAACAACACTGTGTGAGTCATATTTTTGATCGTGACGGAAAATTGATAAAGTTTATTTTTCAGTGTATGTATAATACATTTTACACTTATTAATTCTGTAGCAAAAGTCGGTGAAAATCGAGGTAAAACTTACCATTATGTTTTGTTTCTTCTCTCGAGCCTTGTCAAATGGCTGTACGTGGCCGGCTGCCTCGTTTTGAAATTATATTTTGACTAGTTCCGGCCGAGTCATATACTACTTTTAGTTTCCAATAAATTTTCTATGAAAGAATGAAACATTTTTCTCGTGTATCTTCTAATAAATAAAATTAGACAAACGTTCATAGTTTTAAATCATGTAAGTTGATGATTTAATATATTTATAGCTATATTTCATTTTATGCATACACAGATAATGGAACCAAGCATAAAAACATCGCGGGGGGTTGGTGAAAGTGAAAGTTGTTACATTCCTCGAGATTCATTTTGAGTTTGTGTTCACGAAGACACCCCTGGGATATTGTCTTGGATATTATACGATAGATCATAAGGTATTTATCTGTCATTTGCATTAATTGCAAGGGAGCTTATTTCACATGTGGTCCTAAAGACGGTGGCTACTGCCCCTATTCCACACACCGACTCACGAACCACCAGGGAATTATAAATTTTAGAAATCGTGAGGAATCGTGAAATTTTGCATATTTCTGGTAGAAATCTTGTCTTTGCTTGGGCTTCACTTACAAAAATGGAAGTTAAACACAGCATAACTATAGTACTGACCCTGAAACTGGAGTATGAACATCAGCTGAAGATAACGTCTTCGGAGAAGGCTAACTGGTTCTAAACTGGAACTGGATGAGACTAAACAAGATTCAGTTAAGAGCTTAAAGAATTTATCATGATTAAACTAAAAACCCTGGGATTTATCTATTCCTGGCGGCTCATGGAATTCGAAGTCGCTGTAGAATAGGGGTATTAAAATGTACAGATTTCCCTTCGGAAAACTCCTACGCAATAGTATTTACTTGGCAGATCTTCCTTGGATAAACTGTATTTTTGATTCTCTTTTATCTGACACTTAACATACTAGTAACCCTGTGGCTATCTGGGAAAAGTAGAATAGCTGTCACCTAACCTGAAGCAAGGCTTTTAGTAATTCCACCATTTCCTTGTCCAGAGTATTTTCTGCTCTCACTGAGCACTGGTTAAATAGAGATTTTTAAATTATTTTTGGAGTCATTAATTTATGGTATTTATTTTTAAAGTACTGTATTGGTTAAAAGTGATTTCTTTGCTCTCAGATTAGTTCAACACTGGGTGATTTGCAGGGTTATGTACTAGTACATGTACATTTTGTACATTTTGAGTGGTCTTTTACACTGTAAGTTAGGGAAAAGTGGAGGTGGATCCACATGTACTGTACTAGTATACTTTCACTTTATTGTTAGAAGTCAGTAGATCCATTCATGCAACTTTAATGCAGTTTTTATGTTTGTACTTTAGGTGCACCAGGATGAAGTATTATGCGAAGTTAAGTCGTCTACTCATTGATCATGGGGCAAAGGCATTGAGAAATTACTTCAAAACTCACATCCTTGACCCTGCTGGAAAGACTTTAGGAGAGCTGTTTGCCGCCAATAGAACACTGCTGGATGATCTTTACCGTGGTTTACATGGACACCGGAAGCTTCTATACGAAAGTCAGTATAAGAAGATATTCCCTCCAAGCAACCAAGATCCAGAGTTAAAGGAGTTTGATATCACACTTCTGTTCCTTCTTACACGTCAACTGCATCCGCAAGGTCCAAGCATCCCTCCTCCAAAAAACAATGTCTGGAATGACCCAAACGATCAATGGCATTCACAACATAATGTTCCAACAAAAACTCAGGCAATAATTCTGATAAAGTATGAGCGCAATAAGCTTGCTCACAGGACAACTACAGACATGGAAGAAACTGACTTTGAATGTTTGTGGAATAGACTATCTAGTGCCATAGTGGAAGTAGGAGGGATGTCTCAAGAAGAAGTCACAGAATTACATGATAAAGCTATTGAACCAGAGAGAGAGGCAATTTATTGTATGTCTTTCCTGAAGGAGTATCTAGAGGAGATAGATATGATGGATATGATGGAAAGGGAATTTGCTGATCTGAAAGAAAGCATAACAAAGGTAGTAGAAATTCTGGATAACAGGATCTCAGACCTTAAGTCAACTTTGTCTTTGGAACAAAAGGAGTTTATGGAAAAAGTGATGCAGTCATTAAACCAGTATTTTGAGAATGTTCCTTCAAGCTGTGAAACACAACCCAGTGATGCATCTTCTGTTGCAAAAAGCTCAGAGAATACTGGTGTAGGTAAGTATACCTCTCAAAGATGAACATTAATTTTCCTGTCGATCAGTAGATTAAATGAAATATTATCAAAATTAAATTCATACGTTGTGTAGATATGTAAGTATAATATATAATGCTTTATAATTTTCTGTTTTAGATTAGATAACAATAAAATTATTTTCTTTTTGAGTTTGGTTTTCAAATTCAGATTGTCAATGCAAGTGGGCTGAAGTGCTTAGCAGTTACTATATTCAGCATTGTTGCAGTTTGAAGTGGCCAACCATCCTGAAGCTTGATATCCATGAAATTTTTACTGAGATTGACATGTCAGATAAGCATAGGTAATATATAACCAGCTGCCCCTCATATCAATACTTCATGTTAAATTGGGCCTGATTTCTTTCTTATTTTATAATGCAGGATAGCTAGGGTAACCCTTGCTTAATATAGGTGATCATGTACATAGAGTTCATGTAGAACCCTAATACTCAGTTGTGTGTAATATAATAGCCAAATGTATATTCTTCCTGTATGATGTTCAGAATTTTTATGAAAATTATTTCCTAACCAAGTGTTATTTTGCATATACCTATATTTGTAGTATTTGTTTGTTTATTATCCCTGTAATTTTGAGAAAAAAGTTGAAGATCCTGTTTTCTAGCCCATGGATCTCCTGAAGATATTTTTGAAACTGGGCAGATGTGGAAATTCACTGTTCTTTAGGGACTGTGCATTATTATAGTACCTCCGCAAAGGAGGTTGTTTTCACCCCTGTTTGTCTGTCTGTCTTTCTATCGATCTGTCTGTCTGTCATCAACATAACTCAAAAAGTTATGGACCGATTTTGATGAAATTTTCAGGAACTGTCAGAAGTGGGCTTAGGAAGAGATGATTCTTTTTTGGTGGTGATCCAGATCAATATTAATCAATCAATAATCAATAATAATAATAAATTGCTGCCTTGGCGGAGGTCTGCGCTCTCGGAGTGCTTTTCTAGTTTGTTTTATTATTATACCAATTTTCCACCAAGGTATTATAATAAAGTGAAGGAAAACACTGTAAGGCCCCATTTCGAATGGATGACCTGAGTATTTATGGATGTGCCGACTAATTATGGCCGACCAAGGTTCAAAAGCGATGTGGCTAATTCTTGATGGTCTCCCTGACTCCACACGCCCCTTTAAATGGATTAAATCTCTGCTGTGAGGTTTATTTGCTAGGGGCCTGCAGCAACAGTGCATGTGGAGGCGGGGAGACCATCAGGAATCAGTGGCATCTCTTCTGAACTATGGTCGGCCATATTTAGTCGGCGGGTCAGTAAGTACTGCAAAATACAGAAAAATCTATTTATTACAGTACTCATGTACATGTAAATGCTAACCACATAGAAATCATACATTCTGAATGGGGCCTAACTTATGAAGTAGTAACTAGATTTACATACTAGTATCTAGATCTTCATCTGCCTCCTTGATGTCTTTTCAAAACATCATCTCTGCCATGCACAACCCTATACACCATTGTTATGGGTATTTTTTTAGATTTAAGGAATTTTTTATGTCCAAAATAAGATATCTTTCCTATAGGATCCTATAAGATTTCCTATAGGAACCCGTAAGATTTCCCATAGGATCCTATAGGAAAATGGGACAATTTCCTATGGGAAATCCTATAGGAACCTACATGTATAAGATGGCCTATAGGAAATTCTATAGGAAATCTTATAGGAAATCCTATAGGAAATTTTTGTAAGGGATTGGGGTCATCACCAAATTGAGGAGATCAAGTCCAGTTACCACTGCAGCGCTTTGTACAAACACACACAAACACACACACACACACACACACACACAAATCAGACTGATACATTAAGTGTTAATTTGTGAGCCAGAAAGAGCAAACAGACATGCAAACACGCACACACACACACACACACACACACACATATACTGATCAACATACAGTACTTTGAAATCTGTGAAGGGGGATTTCAAAGTAATAGTAGTCATTTCTATAACATTGTGTTTTAGGGATCACATGACCCACTGCCAGATATTTGACCAGGTAATTGAGTTGCAAGCTCCTCCAAGAAGAATTTTGATAGAAGGTCAGAGCGGTAGTGGAAAGACTGTACTTGCCTCCAAGATTGCCTTGGACTGGGCTTACCACATGAGAGCCCAGAAGTATATTTACTATCACAGTGATGACAGTAGGGAGACCAGGAATTATGTGAAGAAATTTCAGTATGTTTTTTTATTGCAGAACGTAGATGTAGAGAAGTCAATAGAGGAACATATCTTTGAGTTAAACCATTTATTCTCAAAACCCATTGAAAAGCGAGAAATTCAGTCCATTATGTGTATGATAGAAAGATTCCAGGAAGATGTCCTTTTTATTGTTGATGTTGATGAAAATTTGTTGCATAAACATAGTGGTGGTGAAATTTTAGAATTGATCAGAGGTGAGCGATACTGTAGATCTACAGTTGTTGTTACATCTAGACCCCTGCAGTATAGGCAACTGCGTGACTTTCGTGACTTTCATGTTTGTTACAACAATGGCTTTGACCCTGTCAAAGGCAAATCAGTACAGTTTGTGAAAAACTATGCTCAAAGTACCAAAGTTACTGAAGATGTTTTTGATGACTTGATTGAGAAAATACAGAAAAACACTGTTGTGGCAGACTTAGCAAAATGTCCTTTGTTTTGTCTATTGCTTTGCATGTCTTACCATAGTGCTCATCAGAAAGTGACTGGAGAAATGGGCAGGAAAGAAAGAAGATTACTACAGGTAGTACCTCAGGTTCAAGGTTTGGCAAATTTGTTCAGTAATCTTGTAGATGATATGATGGTTAGGGTTTTGGATCAAAGAGACCAAATTGCCCCTACATTGAAAATATTGTGCAAGTATTCTTGGGATGCACTAATGAAAGGTACAGAATATTTAGCTGAGGATGAGGATAGTATGTTAGATTTGGTATTAAGAAAGGGTCTTTTGCAGAAATGTGACATTGGCACAGTTCGAGAACAGGTGTTATGTATTATGTTTCCTCACCAAAGCATAAAGCTTTTTCTTGCAGCCAAATACATGACTGATATTGCCTATGAGGAGTGTTTTTCAGATTTTCCAGATCTGCTTACAAAGAGAATGTCTGTTGAATTAGAGCAGGAAAAACTAGTATCTATCTCATTTGGGCAGTTAGATATTTTTTTGATTGCATTGTCTGGACTTTTGGCCATGGAAAGGGATTTCATTAGACTGGAGCAATTTTTTAGCTGTGTCCAGAAATCAATCATTGATACTTTGCCTCTGGGTTCAGACAAAAAACATCCTTCTGGGATATCATCTTGGAGTTTAAAAGATCCTTCCATTGTGCTAATTCTTCAGTGTTTATATGAAGCCTGTGTGTCCACGGTGAGTGATACTGGAGAAGAACCAGAAAGAATGTCAGAGATTATGAAAGTTATGACTAAACATATGAGTAAAGTTATTTCAGATTCCTCGGGCCCACAGACATCAAGGACCCCACAATCTTGTTTTTGGGTTCTTGCAAGGCTGTTAAAGTATAAACCTAAGAAACTAATACAGATTGACATTGCCCCAAGCATGATTGAGTCAGTGCAAGTGAAAAGTGACCTTGCTGAAGGTATCGGCAAATGCAAAGATTTGTTTGTATTACTTAGATGGGAAACGGTTGAAGATCTGCAGTTGTTCCTGAGTCATATCTGCAAAGAAAAAAGTGCTATTACATACCTTTCATGCTGTTATGAAGGACATAACCATATTGAAACAAGCTTTAATGTCGAGTCATTTAAGAAAATGAATCTGCCCAGTCAGTTTTCATTCTTGTATTGCCACAATACACAATTAAGTGACACCATACTATTGGAATGCAGTTCACTCAAAGATTCCTGGATTGTTATGCAAGAATGCAGCATCAGCAAAGAAGCTCTTTTGCAGCTTATACGATCCCAATTAACATCATCATTGTCATCAGCATTTCTTTTTTCCTCGTGTACTTTGAAAGGTGAAACGGGGGAAAAACAGACATTTAATGGGGAGGTATATCCTGAAGAAACACGTTTTTCTTTAAAATCAGCATAATTTTATAGAATTCAAGTAGGGTGGGAAACCATAAGAATGATTTTTTTTTGGCACAGACTGTATGTTATGAGGAAAATGTATAGTAATGATGAAGCCATGTTTACATGGATTTTTCTTGTCCGTGGGTTTTGAACAGGTTAGTTTTGGAAGGAGGTTGAGAACCATATATTTTCGAAACTTTTTTTTTACTTGTACAGCATCAGTTTGTGTGTGTGTATGTGTGTGTAATAAATATTGTATATGTGTGTATTATAGAAATTGATACAGATTGGAATCATAAACACACAGCACAGTTTGTTTATTATTGATTCCTTGATCTCAGTGTAATTGCACAGTGAATAATGGCCTTTGATCATTCTTTGTGTGTGTGAAAGAGTAAATGAAAGAACAGGTAGTGTTCATATCGGCAAACACTAGGCATATAACATTATTTAAATGAATACTGATGTATCAGGTAACAATGCCAATGCATGGTTAGTAGACAAACTTTTAACTTGTACATCAGCCACTGAACTCTCTCATTTATTTTAGGAGAGTTTAATTTATTCATATTAATGAACATGTACATGTATTTGTATATGATGTCATATTTATTCATGGATGGACAGCAATTCGCCTGTAAAGGATCAAAACAGGTTTTCTATGTGAATGATAATCTGCTAATGACTTCCCGACCCAATATGTTTTCTTGTATGTGGAAGCAGCTTGGATTTACAGGATTTCTTTCATAGAGCTTAATGCATGTAATTGCTTTTTTTTTTAGAGATTTTTATTGAAATTATACAAATGTGATATGATACATTAGAAAGAATATATTTCTTTATGTGTAAATATGCCATGTACTTAAGATCAATATCAGAAAATTAATGTATTTATTGAAGGATAATAAACACAAGTAATGGTATTTCTAGTTCCTCTGTATAGTTAGTGTACATATGTATATATTGTATCAATAGTAATGGGTTCTAAGTGGAAAATCTGTCAGTGAAAAGGAAGTTTTTTTTAATTTGGTTATGGGCTCTGTGATATACTGTACTAAGTATATTTATTACTCGTGTACCAAACAACAAGTGGATCTTAATTGGGATGTATTGAACAATATTTATTCTGTATATCACTGTTCAGTACTCAGTTTATTAACAAGTGATGGCTTAATTGCTTTAAATGTGATCTTATTTTTTATAATTGATATTGTGTTAACTATGCAAGTCATAGCTTATAGCTATGGAGGGGTGATATTAATTTTAAATGTAGCTTTAAAAGCATATACTCCTATTTATGTCATATGAGCATCAAATATCAAATATTGTCTTAAAGACTTTGTAAATAACATTATGAAAAAAATGTCTGAGAAGTTGTACATTGTGCACTGCAGCATTTTTCAAACTCTGTGCAACTTACAGATCACAGAAAATGACAACTTTTTTAGTTATAGTGATCAATCCAGGCACTAAGGAGCATGGATTTAAATTTCAGTTCTATCATATTGTATACTTATGAGCATTATATGTTTGGAAATTTTAAGTGGGCATTTTCAAATTTGTTGATTTTATTAGGAAGTAAAATTATCTGTGACATTGAACATAATGTGTCAAAAAAAAAAAAAAAAAGGGGGGTGACTAGATAAAACTTCACAAGAAAAAAAATCATACTTACCAGATTTTCCTGGGCTAAACAGTATACTCTGTAACATCTGGGGAAATTAAGAAGTCCTGAAATCAACTCTTATGAAATGGGTTCCATTTCTTTACATCTTTGATCATGGACTTCCAATTTGCATACAAACCAAATGTGTCAAGAAGGTGGACAAATTAATAGGTTCATCAGTCTAGACTAAGATTATTTGTAGTGACATTACTTCTTGGCATTTATCTGTTTGAAAATTTGAAAAGTACCAGTATTGTCTTTAGATGAAACCAGCAGGTGTTTAAGTTGGGCACTATCCAGGGGCGTAACCAGACCTTTTAAAATAGTACGCACAGATTTTGAAAATTCCCAGGTACAATTATATTCCGTGAAAAATACACTGAATTTATGGAGAATAATATCATGGTTGGCTCAAAAAATTGTACGCACAGTGCATCCGTGCGTATGCCTGGTTACGCCCCTGCTATCTTTTGTACAGTAAATTTATTTTTCATATTAAGTGCCATACTATTAATTACCAATTAAAGTTATCAATATAAAATGTGTGAAGAAGGGAATATCATACTGCATGAGGTTTTGCTGTACAAAATGTGAATGATGTCACTCATATTTGGTACAGTTAAAGTATAAAATGGAAATGATAGTTATTTACAGTAATATTTTCATCATTAAAAAAAAAACTTTTTTGTCTACCCGGTGTTCAAGTTTTGCAAGTTCGGCTACTTACATGTATGAAGTGACCTACATGTATCAATGTATGGGGACCAATGATAAGTTATGGTAAATACTTCAGTATTTGTGCTTTTAATATTATACATGCATTTGCAAATATGAATTAACAATTTTTGGTCAATTCCCTTAGAATATCTGTGATGGAAATGCTGTTTAAACTCATATTTAACAAATTTTCCTTGGATAAACAGCATTTTCCTCCTACTTACCAACCTTAAGCATGTTTTTTTTTAAGATGGCAGACTAATGAGGTTTAATAGGGGACAATGAATATGCTTATTATTATTATTATTTTATTTATTTATCAATTTTTGCAATATTGATTAAGGTAATTTATCTGCCAATTTAAATTCAAAAGTTATATTTGTCCTGAAAAAGTTCAACAGGAAGCCATTCATCCTCTTAGAATGCATTCAAAACCCTGGCTTAAATCACTTTAACAACTTCAGATGAGTTGAAAGATTTGCTTTTTGGAATTGTTACATAATCCTGAACTTCTGTTTGCATAATCAAAAGACCCATCATGAATTATTTTTTATACATTTTAAAGTTTTGGTGTCTTTAGACATTTTGTTTTGGGATATTAAAAAGCAATATGTTCTTGTAGAGTTCATTTTTATTCTACAGCATATTTACTATTTTGTAAGATATGCATCTAGAGATTAAATAAAGTGAATATAATATACATTTTTAAATTTTACTATGATATATTTAACAGACATGTAAAACATTTGATGAAATAAAAACAATTGGAAATTTGATATGATTTTTGATCAATTATTATTACCAACATTATCTTTTTGGGGTACTCTCAGAGGCTCGGACCCAGTCTGTCTGTTCTTGTCGATCAAAGATAACAGTAATCTGGCTATATATATTTTAGGCCAAAGCCTAGCACTGGACACGGGCATGCTTGCATGCATTTTAGTCCCAACTTGTGCTGCCGTTGCCGCTGGCTCTTTTTTGAAACCATCCAACAATCGTGGTCATTTTTAAGCCTGACAGCAAGCAGTCGATCAGTTACTGGACCTAACATGCATGTTCATCAGATTGACCGGACTGACCATTTTACGTATTATCTTTTGTCCATCAGTCACTGAAAAACTCTTGTATTTACTATAGCTTGTACACAGGGGCGGATCCAGTATTATTCGAAGGGGGGTCCGCGGGTGCGATGCCTGCCCCCCCCCCCCCCCCCCCCCCCCGCCCCCCCCCCCCCCCCCCCCCC